CTGCAGAACACGGGGAACTTATGTGAACCACATCTAATGTTCTTGTCTCTGCTTCAAGCACAGATTCCTCAGGGGCTAGGGATGTGGACTAAGAAGGGAAAGTCAGAAACAGGAAACATGGTAATTGCATGTCCTGGATGGTGTGTTTTGGGGAATTTTCTTATGACGGTGTCTTGTTGTGTCTGAAAGCCATGTTGACAAACCAGTGCTATATTTTTAGCATGCTTCCAGTGGAAAGCAGGCAAGATATGTGAACAATATATTTCCAAATATGTCCCATGTTTGTAAGACACAGTGCATGCGTGACAGATGGAGCGGGATGTGTGGATAAAATAGCAACTGTGCTACTCCCGATTCCTCAGCAAATCCACACCCAACAAACGGCATCCAGGTCCAACGTGTGATACAATCTTGTTTTCTAAGCATTTGAGCCAAGGGTCTAGGGGATCAGAAACAAAGCTAGAAAACGGATGTGAGTTCTAGTGAGAGTGGTACGTAATCGTCCTAGGTGGACCGACCCAATCTCCAGCCTGGCCTGGGGATGTAAGAACACCAAGGAAGCATCACTGGCCTTCTGAGGGGGCTGAGGTCAGAGAGCCACCGGCTCCCTGTTCTCCTTTTCACGAGTACTCCTCTAGGGGGCGCTCCTGACCACAGCCGGCCCTGGACATACCAGCCGGCCTCCTGATCTAGTGGCCTAGATAACCAGAGCCTGTCTGGTTCCTCGAACCACCACAGCAAGCCCTTGGCCGCTCAGTTCCTTCTTTCTCCTCCCATAAATAAATTATTTCCTGAGGAGATGGAGGGTGACTGAGATCCGCTTTCTAAAGGACTCTTAACTCCTTAGGATACCTCCCTGAGCTGGGGCTGATAAACGCTTGCATGATCTCCTCCGGGGAACATGCAACCCCACAAGCCCAGGTGGCTTACGGAACTCCTGCAAGTTATTCCTAATCTTCCTGTAAGTTGAACACTAAACCACCCCCCTGAACTTGCCTGAAGGAAGAAGACGAATAACATGTCATTTCTTTCATGTTACTGTACTTCCTCCAGGACCGGCTTTCTATGTCATTGTCACCACCCTTATTTTGTTATTATTAAAATATCTCTGGAGTGGAGGGCATGGTTCAAGGGGTAGAACACCAGCCAAGCAAGCATGAGGTGCTGAGTTCAAATCCTAGTACTGCGGGGGCAGCAAAGGGAAAGGGAGAGAGGGAGAGAGAGAGAGAAGGAGAGAGAGAGAGAGAGACTTCATCCCTCACTGTTTGAGTCAGGTTGAGAATGGGTTTAATGACCTGTTGCTGAAGGCCTTGGACCTAACTGTGTATCTGCTACTGTTCTTCTGCCGAACAACACAGGTCCTTCCACCCAGGGATAATCTAGAATGAAGCAAAACTATGCGTAGTTGGGGTGAGTTCTAATTCCCCTGTTAGACAGCTCACCATGCCTGAGAGAGGAAATGAGGAGTGGCCCCCCTCTACTGATTGCAGAGGGCGGTTCCCAGACCTGGGGGACCTCAGGCCACTCACATCTGCACAGTTCTTACCCTTATTTCACCATAACTAAAGAGCAGCAGTCTTCAAGAAAAAGGTTTTTAGGGAACCATTATTTTATGTATGAGCTTAAAAGGAATCAGTCCATTTATTCAGTAATGAAAAAGATCATTATTTTCACATTCCCAACTAATGTCTTCTGTTTTCTTCCATCATTACTGAGCTCCGCTGGGAATCAGGCGCATTCCCTAGTTGTGCTTTTTAAAAGAGCAAACAAAACAAAGCAAAAACAACGACAACAACAAAAACGGAGCTGGAATTAGACGACAGTGATGTTGTATGGACAACCGGACCCCTTTTGGGGGTGGATCTTAAGTTTTGGATTGAACTCTTTCTTGTCTTTCCATTTTGTCTGATGAGCAGAGGTACATGGGCTCATCCCCTCGGATTCTGCAGGTTTTTTTTTCTTTCAACCCTCCCCGCCCCTCCTTTTCCTTTACTACCTTCTATAAAAGGATCTTGCTGACTGCAGCTGCGGCTGCCCGAGCTGCTATCTCAGGAACGCTCGCCCAGATTGAGTGTGCCCTCTCGTTAGCCAGCCAGGGCCTGGCCCCCTGCCAGCCTGGAAAAACAGAGTGTGTTTGTCACATTTGCGTCACTGTTCCCTTGGTGACACTTCTTGGAGCCCCGTCAGCTGTCCCCTGAGGTTGTTTCCTTAATATGTCAACAGACATTCCTGAATCTTTAATGCTGAAAAGCTCTTTTCCTCTTCCGAGGCCAGCGTGCCCGTGCCCTGCTGCTGCGCCTTAGACGTGGATCTGAAGGAGGTGTTAGTTCTCCTGGAGACTCTGGAGGATACTGGAGCAAGTCTGGGGTTCCACCTCTTCATGCCACAGGGCCTGCTTTTAAAGGAAGAGCCTGCTTTTAAAGCCGACCCAGAGCTCAGAGCTGGCTCTCCACCTCCATCTTCCCAGGAAAGGCCCTTCTTCTCTTGCCGCCATTCTAGGCTTTCCAGTTTCCCAGTTCTGTGTGGCATGGTGACAACAAAGCAGCTGGAAAGCCCTGCTGGGGCCTGCCTCCGGGCCTCCGCTGCTCGCTGCTTGCCGCTGGCTACAACAAGGAAGCTTGCCAGCCAGCATCTCTGGCTGGCAATCCCTATGACTTGATCTCCTCCTCCTCCTCCTCCTCCTCCTTCTTTTCATGTATGTGTGTGTGTTTTATATGTGTGTATGTGTTTTATATGTGTGTATGCCAGTACTGGGACTTGAACTCAGGGCCTGGGCATTGCCCTTAGGTTTTTGTTTTGTTTTGTTTTGTTTTCCTCAAAGCTGGTGTTCTACCACTTGAGCCACAGCTTTTTTTTTTTTGGTCCACCTTGGAGCCTGAACTCTGGGCCTGGGCGCTATCCCTCAGCTCTTCAGCTCAAGGCTAGCACTCTACCACTTGAGCCACTTCTGGCTTTTTCTGTTTATGTGGTACTAAGGAACCGAACCCAGGGCCCCATGCATGTGAGGCAAGCACTCTAAAGCACTCTACCACCGAGCCACCTTCCCAGCCCCATGAGCCACAGCTTTACTTTTGACTTTTTGGTGGTTAACTGGGGGGTAAGAGTTTCATAGCCTTTCCTGCTTGGGCTAACTTTGAGCCTCCATCCTGAGATCTCAGCCTCCTGAGTACTTAGGGTTACAGGCATAAGCCAAAGAGCCTGGCCCCATGTCTTTATGTTCATTGCCACTTTAATCTATAGTTTCTACTTGCAAGGTATGCCTGAGGGAAGGAAGCCCTTCTTCCTGTGCCCAGCACTGCCTTCAGAGATGAGGCTGGGTTTCGTGGAGGAGGTCCCATGGCCTTCAGTGATGAGGCTGGGCTTCCTGAAGGTCTCTCTACTGTGATTGGTCGGATGGCAGAGGGAGCAGGTCTCTGTCCCTGGTCTGTCCCAGCATCCGTGCTCCCCTCAGATACAGAGGAGCACTGTGTATTTGAGTATTATTTTCCTCAAGCATGGGGAGAAACCCTGGGGGTTCTGTGGCCTGGGGAGGGGTCAGCGGGTGGCTGGATCACCACTTTGCCCTCTGCCAGCCATGCTGGCTGCAGGACTTCAGCAGTGTCGGTCAAGTAGGTTCCAGGGCATTGAGGACAGAGCCAGAACCACACAGCCACGCTCCCATCCCTGCAAAGCTCGCCTGGCTAGGAACCACCAACAACACTGGCGGACATGTCACACATCAACACAGGAGAACTGAGGTCCACCGTGAGAGAACTCTGCACTTGTTGGTGACTTGAATTCGAGGGCTGAGGTGGTTTCCCTCTAGAAAGTGCTGAGCTCAGCTCTGTTTTTGCTGGTGTTTGCCATGATCCTCAGATGCCAGCAGCACCCTACTGTGGCGCTGGGCACCAAAGCCCTGGGACCCACCGCGTGTGACCCTGGGAGTCCAGTCCTGGGCCCCACTAGCTGGCCAGCCCCATCCAGTTTGCACATGCTCGGATGAATTTCGAGGAGCTAGTGACCTGGGACCTATGTCCTTTTTGGAGTTTACCTCTAACGACCACCCTCCCTCTCTTCTCTAGCCACCCACACACAAGCTTAGTAGCCCATTAACGGAGCCATTGCTCGGAATTCTGTGCTATGTGGTCAGATTCCATTCTGAATTTCCTGACACTGAAGATGAAATAGCTAATTATCCACGGTAATTGCATGTACAATCTGCGCCTTTGAATGACGGATGGAATCCTTCTTAGAGGCTCTGGAACTCCATACTGGTGAAAGCAAGGGCAGGGAGTCTCTAGTCCAGCGTGTGTATGTGTGCATGCGTGCACGTGCGTGCGTGCGTGCGTGCGTGCGTGAGCACACAGGCGGCTCCAGGGCTGGTCCCCAGTGCCTGACCCGGGCGTCCATTTGTACATTGGGAAGGATATTCATGTCTCCGGCTTCATCCAATCATGATAAACCACAAAGAAAAGGACATGGCTATCATAATATGTATCTTTAAGGAAAGAAAGTGGTGCAGAAAGAAAAGAAAAACACCACAAAGGTTGAGAATAAATAGGTAAGTGCAGGCACTGATGGCTCATGTCTGTAATCCTACCTACTCTGGAGGAAGTTGAGATCTGAGGATCAAGGTTTGAAGTCAGCCTGAGCAGGAAAGCATGTGAGACTCTTATTTCCAATGAACCAGCAAAATGCTGGAAGTGAAGATGTAGCTCAAGTGATAGAGCACTAGCCTTGAGTGAAACAAAAAACAAACAGGCCCTGAGTTTAAGTCTCAGTACGAGCACACACACACACACACACACACACACACACACACACACAAACACACACTCACAAAGAAATAGTAAGATACAAGTATCAATAGTTACAATAACTATTGGGTTAAGAAAAACGGCCTTATCTCAGAGTTCACGTGTAATGTAGATCTTAGTAAGGTAACATATGATGATAATTATGTAATTGTGCAATAAAACTGTGGTGTTTTATTTCTATTATATACATATACGTGCCCATGTAGTATTGTTTCTTACATATACCAAAACTCACATTGAACCATGAGTTCTGGGTTGCAAAAGAGGATTTTCTTTTTGCACCAGTCTGCAAATCTTTGTTACAAACTAAAGACGCACAAGTGCTATAAGTTATATTATTTCTTCTCTTTTGAATATGTGCTGGAGACTTGGCTATGTTGGGACTCACCCCTTCAGTCATCACTTATGAGATGCTTAGGATTTGCTCACGGAGCCCGGGATCTGCTGCATTGGCAGGACCTTCTTCATCTTCTCCCACCCAGACAGCCGAGGCATGCTTCCGGGATGGCTCTGAGCCGATGGGAAGAGGAGGGAGTCCCATCAGATGAGTCAGGCCATTTCCCCCTGGATAATGAATTAAAGACTGGGGATACTTTGCAGGCACATTTACAATGGGCAGTGTAATTCTTCTCACTTTTAGTAAACTTAGCATCTAGTTTCTGCCATTGGAAGGGGATTTTGTGACAGAGAAGAAGGAGTTCTTGGGCCACACGCAAAGCAGAACCTTGTCTGAACACAACCTTGATCCTTACCTGCATCTACCACTCCTTCCCCCTCCCCGACCCCCAGCCCCCAATGCCATTCCATGATGAGACTCTTCCTTCAGAAACAAACGTCTAGTTCAGGGGTCTTCCGCCTGCCACATGGCGTCCCAAGACCCCAGGAGCTGCAGGCATCTCTCCAGACAGAAGGGGAGACATTTCATTGACAGATTGACTCACCTCAGAGTTCACAGGAGAGTAGGGGTGCAGTTCAGGGTCCACCTCATGTAATTGGGCCCCGCCTTCTGCCATTTCCACCCCTCCTTCCAGTCATTCAGTTATGAATCTATAATGGGTGGATCCATTCCTCAGGGACGTCCAGTCCCGCCCCCCCCCCCCCCCCGTGTCCAGCCTCAGGCCTCCCACTGGGATCAAGGCCTCCAGCACCAGCTTGGGTTTAGGCCTCCCAATCATGCATGGGTTTAGCGGTACACATGCATTCCGGTGAGTTTAAGCCTTTCGTTTCTGTTAGGGAGGGAGAGGAGGGCTGTGGGGGTCCCGGGGGATGTGTGGAGTTTCTGGCTCTCTCCCAGGTTCCATGGCAAGAGGCTCCATGGCCCGGGGCCGTTCCTGCCATGCCTGCACCTTAATGCTCAGAACCGCTCACTAGCCTCGCATCCCAGCACAGCCCATGCTCTGAGCCGGGGGCAGTGAGCATTTAGACGCTCACCACTGAGGAGGAGACATTAGGAACATCGCTTCCCAAGAGATGGAGCTGGTCACACTGTGCAGGTACAGACAAACAGCCCTCCCCTCTCCCCTCCTCTCTCTCCACATTAGGGAAGAGGCCACTGCTAAGGGGCTGTCTGATTACCCGGCATGGCTGCAGCCATCTCCGGCTCCTGTGTGTTCCTTTCGCCACACTTGGAGATGTTGAAGCCATCCCGACAGGGACACAAGCAGGAACACACACACACACACACACACACACACACACACACACACACACATACGGGTCAGGTAGACTTGTTGCAAGCTCTTGCATTCTACCTATGCCCAGCTCTTTGTGATCGCCATTTCCTCTCACATGGCCACATCGTCCCGAAACAACACCCACTGCCGTGGCTGCTGCATGGAGGGGCATTTTCCTGTCCTCCTCCTTCTACCTGGGGCAGCGTGCATGTGGCATGTGTGTGTGAGTGTGTGTGTGTGTGATCTAACACACCCTCTGTATGGAGGTGGCACTCAGATTTCACATGCTCTGTGTGTGTGTGTGTGTGTGATCTAACACACCCTCTGCATGTAGGTGGCACTCAGATTTCACATGCTCTGTGTGTGTGTGTGTGTGCGATCTAACACACCTTCTGCATGTAGGTGGCACTCAGATTTCACATGCTCTGTGTGTGTGTGTGTGTGCGATCTAACATACCTTCTGCATGTAGGTGGCACTCAGATTTCACATGCTCTGTGTGTGTGTGTGTGTGTGTGTGTGTGTGTGAGATCTAACACACCCTCTGCTTGTAGGTGGCACTCAGGTTTCACATGCTCTGTGTATGTTTGTGTGTGTGTGTGTGTGTATGTGTGATCTAACACACCCTCTGCATAGAGGTGGCACTCAGATTTCACATGCTCTGTGTGTGTGTGTGTGTGTGATCTAACACACCCTCTGCATGGAGGTGGCACTCAGGTTTCATCTCCCGGGGCACACGGCCTCAGAAGCACGTGATGTCACGTATGACACGATGTTAGGGACTGGTTTAAAAAATGTTAAACAATGGGACGTTGCTCCGGAGCCTCAGTCCCTTGGAATTTCACAGGGTTCCAACCCCAACGGCTTCACAGCCATTGGCACTTAATTACTGGCATAAATCTCACTAGCAACTTCCATAACTTCATTTGCAAATGAGCGCAAGTGCCTCCTACATCACGCCCTCCTTCTCCCTCCCTCCTGCCTCTTGTCCCCCCTCCCTGGGACCCCCCCCGGGGGTTGGGAAGTCTCCCAGCTTGCCCTGCGTGGACGTGGGTTTCCCCACGGAATCCACGTGGAACAGGTCATGATGAGGTGACCAGGACAGTCCCTTGTTGTGCCCCGGCCACTCTCACGCTCCGTGGCCAGCGGCCCCTACTTTCAGGGTAGCCCCCGGGGGGGGGCAGGCTGGGCTTGAACCACACCCCACCCTGTCTTTCCAGAGCTGGTGAGTGGGGCCTTGTGACGGGAGCATCCTGATCCTTTTCCTTCAACCACCCTGCTGAGATCCGGGCAGAGCCCGCCCAGTCCACCCCGTGTCTTCTGCACCCACCAAACAAGGGGCGCAGAGCCGGCTTCCAGAGGGAATGGAAAGTTCCACCTCGTCTACAGCAGGTTCTCTGAACTCCAAATCTCACTCCCTTTAGGACTCAGACTGTGATCTCTGGTTGCTTTCAGCTTACAAGAATGCTGGAAAAGAGGCCCCCCCACTCTATGCAGGGATTCCTCTAGATGGCTCCTTCGACTCCTTTAACATCTAAGCCAGTAAAACGCTCCCCGCGCCCCTCCTGTGCCGGGGACGGACTCAGGGCTGTGTTTTCTGGGCAGCCATGCTCCTGCCTTAGTTACACTCTAGTCCTGAGCCTGGCCTCTAACTGCGGACACACGGCCGTCTCCAGCTCTTGACCTCTCACAGTAACTAGTTGTGTGACTTCAGGCAAGCTGCTTAACATCTCTGAGCCCAGGCTCCTCATCCGAAAGCCTGCTCCCATGCCAACAGCCAGCTGTTGCCGCCATGCCTGCAAACCACACAGAGAGCGTGGCGCACGGTGGGCGGCCGCTTTAGCGCTGGCTTAGCTGTTCTCTAAGCAAGCCTCTGACGTGTCAAAAATGTAGGTCACAACAAATTTGAATATTGCTCTGTCTTCACTTCCTGGAAAGAAACAGTCACAGTCAGAGCCCCTGGGTGCCCTGGAACGGACTCCCCACTCAGACACTGGCTTATTCATTATTCACTGCAGTTGGAAGCAGAAAGCAGGCCCGGGCTCCGTGCCTGAGACCTGAGCTCGCCGGGAGCAGACCTGCAGCCGTCAGGGCTGGTGCTATCCGGACACAGATGCCATCCACCCCGCGTCTGAGATCTGGGGCCCTGGATGAGAGCCCGGCTTGCATTTACACACACACAGTTCACAGCATGGCCCACTGGAGCGGTGTAGGGCCCTGCGGCTTACTCTAGTGTGCTGGGTCACCACTTTGAAACGCAGGTCTTTCTTTCATGCCCACAGGCCTCAGGCTGGGGTGGTGTGGATGGTAAATGTCCTCTATCCCTCTGTGCTAAGCAGCCCAAACCCTGCAGCAAGTGTCCACCCAGAGGTGGGCTTTCTCCGTGGTGGGTTTTGCAGCCCTGCGCCCCCGGGGGGGGGGAGGACAAATGCACACAGAGGCCGTGCAGGGAGGGCGGAGGGTGGTTCAGCCTCTTCTCAGCAAGGAGGAGCCTCCTGAAGTGCCCTGTGGAAGACAGGAAGACATTTCCCCCGGCCTCCGGGGGCCAGCACTTGCATTGCGGGGTCTGTGCACCATCTGGTGGCCATGAGCTGACATTACATGCACCATTTGGGTTTTTATACCATTGATGAATTCACAGGAGCCTATTTTTCACATTTCCTAGAAGCGATTCGTGGGGTTGGGGTGTTATGAGTGTCACTTTTTTTCCAATTTACCATATTGTTATTATAAAGATGATGTACAGAGGGATTGCAGTTACATAAGCCAGGTAATGAGTACATTTCCTTTGGTACAGTATCATCCCTTCCCTGGCTCTCTCCTAATCCCTCCCTCTGGAATCTACCAGCAGTTGTGTAGTTCACTTTCAACACAGTGTCCAGTGAGCACCACTGCTGCACTTTCTGTGCCCCCCCAAAGATAAACACACAAATAAACCATACAGAAAGAAAAGAGAACAGAAACACCAACCAAACAAGAGATCTCTTGTTTTTGTATGTTGGAGTTTGTTTCAACATATATTATTTTACCTAAACATAAGGAGACATATAAGCATTACACTTTTGTGTTTCTCCCCTAAGAGTATCCTCTTTCAGTTTCACTGTGTCTAGAATCCTGTATAATTTATCATTTCCCCATGTATTTTAGATCTACCTTCTTCATGTGAGACAAAACATACTTTGTCTCTCTGAGCCTGGCTTGCCTCACTTAACATAATTTGTTCTAGGTCCATCCACTTCCCTGAAAATGGCATAATAATGTTCTTTCTGATGGTGGTGTCAAATTCCATTGTGTACAGGTACCGCAGTTTTGGGATCCACTCATCTATTGTAGGGCATCTGATGGTTTCTGTATCTTGGCTGCTGTGAATAGTGCTGAATGTTGCTTCTTATTCAAAGATTGATACTCAGAGCTAAACTTGTCTGCAAGGCATAGACGATGATCTTTCCTTCAGGCCCAGCCTCCTTATGACATCTAGTAACAAGAGTTCTCCGCTCTGTCCCCCTTACCCCTGCTTCACAACATGACCCCAAATGACTGAGCCTTGGAGACTGGGCTCCTCTCTGCCCGGAACACGCATATTTTGTCTTCTCCATTCTTACCAAACGCCACACTTTCTAAGACTCAGCTCATCAAGGTCACCCTTACATCCTTGCAATACCTGCAGTTCTGTTCAAACTCATATTTCCATGGTGAATTTTATTAGTGCATTCTATCTTATGACTCGGAATTAATCAAATTTTGGGAGAAGTGTGAAGTCACAACATTTAACCGTCTTAGATCTCAAGAGTTTCTGAACTGGGTATCAGTGGCTCATGCCCGTAATCCTAGCTACTCAGGAAGCTGAGATCTGGGGAATTGAGGTTTGAAGCCAGTCTGGGTAGAAAGTCTCTGAAACTTTTATTTCTAATTAACTACTACTTCTGGCTAGAAATGGAGATATGGTACAAGTGGTAGTACCAGCCTCAAACAAAAAGAAAAGCTAAAGGACAGTGCCATGCCCTGAGTTGAGGCCCCAAATAAAGAGCCTCTGCTATTTTGGGCAGATGATCTATTCCTGAAGAGACAATCACTGTTGGCTTCCTTTCTAAACACGTTGGGCATTGAACCTTCCTGCCTCATCCCCTTCAGCTAGGTACTGCAATTGATAAGGCAACTGTCCCGCCTGCCTTGATCCACGAAGTCCAGACAGCCCCAAACAACACCTCAGCCGATCTCTGCATGGACAGCTGGATCCAAGGCCCAAGGCACTATGGTGCAAGCTTACGTATGTTTTGGAGGCTCAGTAGCTATGCAGTTTTGCAGGTGCACACACTCACACACGGATGCGTACGTGTGTGCATACACACACACACACACACACACACACACACACACACACAAGGCCAGCTTGACATGATCTTCCTCCAATTGTTTAGGGATCCTCACATTGTGGTGTGGAGACTTGAGCCGCACACCTTGGAGTGGGCAGGGAGGGAAGGCTGTGAGTTTCTTCCAGGTCACTTTGCATAAACATTTGGGAATGGAATTTTCTGCCTGGGTAAGCAAGAAAGGCCACCCTCCCCCTCCCCCCAAAAAGGGCTAGAACTAGGGGAGGGGCTGAGCAGCCAGAGATCTGCTGGGTGGCCCTGTGAGAAGCTCCGCCCCTCAGAGGAGCTGTCTTTCAAAGGGTGCTGCTGTCAACGGCCCAGAATGCTGGGTGTGCAAGGAGCGCTGTGCCCTGCCGTGCCCCTTCCCCCCCCCCACCTTTTGTCCAGAGGGTATTAGTTTGTTATTAGTTTGTGACAGTCAGTCGACTCCATAGTTTAAATGAAGTTATTCAGGGAACATTTACAGAGGAAAGAAGAGTGGAGGTCTGAGGAGGTAACTCCAGGACCAGCAAAAACCCAGCAAGAAAGGCAGCTGGGAAACAGATCTGAAAACAAGGAACGTGAAAGCAGTGTTTCAAGAAAGGAAAGAGCCAGATGAGGTTGCTCATGCCTGTCGTCCTAACTTCTTGAGAGGAAGAGACCAAGAGGATTGTGACTTTGAGATTAGCCAGGGCAAAAAATAAAGATAACCAGACCCCATCCTAACCAACAAGCTGGGCAGTCCATCTCACCCTTAGCATCTCAGCTACACAGGAGGCCTAGGTAGAAAGTTCCAGGTCCAAAGCCATCCCTAACAAAAACACCAGATCCAAAGTAGTGGGTGCTTGCCCACTTTGGTGAGTCAAGAGAAGGGGTGGTTGTGGGAGAAACCCCTGCGAAGACAGCAGTCTGTAGGAGAGGGGAATGCTCTGTGTGCCTAGACCCTGAGCAGCTTCTCGTCTGCCTGACTGCAGCTGGGCACCTGGACTTTATTCTGCAAGGAGAACAAGAACACGGGCCGAAGTTTTCTTTCCGTGGCCATTAAAAAAAAGAGACAGAAATGTACACAGAAAGAAATGCATAGACCCCAAGGATTCAGTCATAGACTATTTCATCATTCAAATAGTCACGTTTCTCCAGAAGCTTCCCTCCAGTCTGGTTCTAGCCAGTCACCCTGGGCGATTACCATGGTCATTCCTATCCCACAGCGTATTCCCGTCTACGCTTGGACTTCATCTAAATGGAAGGGCGAGGATGTAGTTCGGCTTCTTGGGTGTAACAAATGTTTGAGATTTACCTAGTTTTGTTTATAGCTGGTTCCATCATGACATAGATCACGGTGTGAGCATTCGTTACCAGCTTTCTGCCACAGATGGCAAACAGTGCTGCCAAAAACGCCCTACAAGGTTCTCTGCCTCCTGTTTCCAGGCAGATACTTGGGTTGCTTTTGCTTAACCCCAAGTCAGGTTACTGTGACTTTATGAGAAAACAGCCTAGGCAGGACTCATGTCCCCGCCAGCTTTGTGTGAGAGCCTCCACCTGCTCCTCCCTCGGGTGCTCCTCCTCCCGCGGATGCTCTTCCTCCTGGTCCTCCCGCGGGTGCTCCTCCCCCTGTTCCTCCCTCCGGTGCTCCTCCTCGTGATCCTCCCTGGGGGCTCCTCCTCCTGCTCCTCCCTCGGCGACTCCTCCTCGTGGTCTTCCCTCGCGGGTTCCTCCTCCTGGGCCTCCACGCCCGGTGCATCGTTATCTCATTCCTTGGGATGGTGCGGACGTGCAGGCTCCAGGCCTCGAGCGCCGCCGGGTCGGCCGAGGTTTCTCTCCAGAAAACAGGGTGGGGAGGGAGGGCCGAGCCGGGTGCAGGCGGCGTGGGACTCGCGGGGCCGGAGTCCTACGGACGCCAGACGACTCCGCAGCCCGCAGACCGCTCCCCGCGCAAGCGCACACGCGCCCGCCTGCGCGGACCGGCCTGCGCCTGCGCACACGCGCCCGCCCGCGCAAGCGCACTAGCCCCCAGCGCCTCCCCCGGCGCGCACGCGCGGCAAATGGAGTCGGTGCTAGCGGAGCTGCTGCTATCGCAGGACCGGGACCCCCGGGCCGCGCTGGCGGCGCTGTGCCGCGGGGAGGCGTCCGCGGAGCGCGTGGAGACGCTACGCTTCCTCCTGCAGCGGCTGGAGGAGCAGGGCAGCGGCGCGCTCCCCGAGGCGGCGGCGCGGGAGGTGGCGGCGGGGTTCCTGGTGCCGCTGCTGCGCGGGCGCGCGGGCGGCCCCGACGGCCCCGGGCCGCGCCGGCGCGTGCTGCGGGCGGCGGGCGCGGCGCTGCGCTCGTGCGCGCGGCTGGCGGGGACCCCGCCGCTGGCCGCCGCGCTGGCCGAGGAGGCGCTGCGGGAGCTGCGCGCGGGGCGCGGCGCCGAGGCGGCCCTGGAGGTGCTGGCGGCCGTCGGGCCCTGCCTGCGGCCGCACGAGGACGGGCCGCTGCTGGAGCGCGTGGCGCGCGCCGCCGCCGCGCCGGCACTGGCCGGGGACACGCGCCCCGAGGCCGCGGCGGCCGCGCGGCTGCTGGCGGCGCTGGGCCAGGGCGGCGGCGCCGCGCTGCAGGCCGTGTGGGGCGCGCTGGCCGCCGCGGGGCCGCCCCCGGGGCCCGAGCGCCTGGGCCCGGAGCTGCAGGTGCTGAGCGCGCTGGCCGAGCAGCTGCTGCCCGAGCCCGGCGCCCGCCACGCGGGGCCCGACGCACGGTGCTGCGGCCGCTTCTGGAAAACCGTGCGGGACGGACTGGGTCGCGCCGAGGACGCTCTGGCGCGCAGGCGCGCGCGCTTCCTGTTGCGGCGCGCGGTGGAGGTCTCCGCTGCGCCCGGCGCCTCCGACTGCGCCTGCGCCTGCGCCGACCCGGCAGGACCTGGTACGCTGTCGTCCCGCGCCCAGACCCCGGGGACCGGGGCCCTCTGCTTAGTCAGACCAGGAGGCGTCGTGTTAGGTGTCCCGAGGAGCCGGGGAGGGCGCTCTTCTGGAGTCACCTAGAGTGCTTAGCTAGATGTCCTCGGTCCTCCTCTCCTGCCCCTGCGTTATGGGGTCCCTGTGCCAGAGCCCCTGCTCGGTGCCCGCGCCTCCACTGAGGCCCACACGGCCCTAGCACGGTCCCCCGACATTTCTAAAGGTTTTAAAAAGTCCAAAGAAGCATCTGTGCTGAGTGCCAGTGGCTCATGTCTGGAGGCTGAGACCTAAGGATTGTGGCTCAAAGCCAGCCTGGGCAGGAGAAATCCGTGAGATTCCTATCTCCCAGTGAACCACCTAAAAAAACAGAGGTGGAGCTGTGGCTTGAGCGGTAGAATGTTAGCTTTGAGCAAGAAAGCCCAGGGACAGCTCTCCTAGGCCCTGAGCTCAAGCCCCAGGACACACACACCGCACACACACACGTCTGGCAGAATGTTTTTGTTTCTAGCATTTCCATTTGAAATTTTAAAATTGTCTTTCATATCTTAAAATCTCCACCTGCTCATCAGTTTATTCATTCCATTTACCTTTCTGACAATGCCCTGTAGTGTACAATTGTAGTGATTTGCAAGTCTGACCCCTGGACTTGCTAGGACAGCTAAGACTGCTCTCCTTGGAGAGTCCTAGTCTCCCTTTTGTCCCTTGAGCCTTTCCTTCATTACTAAAGCCTGCATTGTGTGGGAGCAGCAGCATTAAGTCTCATTTAAATATTATGGAAGAAAATGGTGAAACTTGCACAAGGAAAAGCTCATTTTCTTTCTCTCTTTCCTTCTTTTTTTCTTTTCTTTTTTTTCTCCCCCTTAGGCCCGAGTCTATTTTGGTGGTCTGAGAAGAAAAATGACCAGCTTCTAAAATTCTGGGAAACTTACATTTTAATTATGGAAACTCTGGAAGGAAATCAGGTAAGTATTCTCCCATTTCGGCAAATGCTTTGATAGATATGATTTCTTTCTCCCATTTTTGGATATTCATGAAGCACAAATACAGAAAGGCTGACTTAGACATAACCTGATACAACTCAAGTACCTTTTGTTTCTGTCACAAATGTCATTTAAAACACGCTAAGTTGTTTCAGGAAGTTAATACTTCAAGAGAACTCAACTTATTCAGAAAAAATGTAATCACATGTCATCTTCCCTTGGTCTTCTTAAACTTTAACATCAGATAAAGCTGACAGCTTGTTACAACTTAGGCAGTGCTGAGTGACACCTTGCTCCAGCAGGGCTGGGGTGGGGCTGGAGAGTTTGGGTTGTGTGCAAGTTCTCAGGTGTTGCCTGGGTTGCGATCCTCCATGTCCCAAGTCCCCATGTGTAAGCTGCAGGCCACCGTGGGGCCCAGCATCTGTGGACTTGGCATGTCAGTCCACGTGTGCAGCACACATGTATTGTGGTAGACAAGTATTCATGTGCAGAGGGTGTAAAATGCAGGAAGAGCAATATAGCATTCTAAGTTCAGATAAACTTCAAGGTTTCTTTGGTCAGTAGACTCACAAAACCCCCATTACTTACTTTAGAGACTTGGGTTTGTGCACGTTTTTGAAGAATTACATCTCTGCCACGTGGGCTCGGTGGCATCAAGAGCATGAGCTCTGCTTCATACCCTGCCACCGTCAGCCATGTGAGTGGCTTGGTAAAACACCAGTGGATTTTTTTTTCCTTTTGGATCTTTTGCATCTTATTAGTTCACCCTATTTCTTGAGTCAGTTGAGGGATTGCATGCATGCCACAACGCAGGCCATTTACCATGTAACTTCTGCACTCTGCTGGTCCTGGGCTATGTTTCTAGACTTGGCCATGCTTGGTCTTACATACCCAAGGCATGCCATGACTCAGTCAAGCTTCTTGCCATAACAATCACACAGGGGTATAAACAGGAAGATTGCTGTTATAGTCATCATTGTCCCTTGAGAGATTTTACAGGTGTGTTTTCATTTCATATGATTTTTTGCTCTTATTTTTAGATACATGTTATAAAGCCAGTCTTACCAAAGCTAAACAATCTGTTTGAATATGCAGTGTCAGAAGAGAATGGTAATGATGATTTTCTTTTTGCTTTAAAAAAAAAATAACATAGTCTGCCCCCCCCCTCCAATTTTATAACTAATTCTGTTGATTACAGAGAGTTTGGGAAGACTATTAAAAGTGTAAGGAGAAAAAGAGGAATGGTCTTGGGGGATGCTTCCACCAGGGAGGGTGGTGGTAAGGCTGTAGATGCTTCCCTCTGGCACCATTGGCACCGTCTCCTCCTAGCAGTGGTGTCCACACCATTCCATTCCAGCAGCCTTTAGTTCTCTTATATAACATAACTTCATGTGGCCTGTAAAGTGCATTGAGGGATGTTATTTGGCTTAACTAAATTTTTGATGACAGGGGTTTCTAATATCTCTAGAAGAGGGGGTACCATCTCCTGAAGATAGATAGAAGATAAGACTCACGCTTTAATGATGGCATGTGCTATGCCTCTCATCATAGCTTTTGATATCAATACCAAATTTCACCTGCTTTCCATCCTTAATATATCTTTCTTTGTATAAATATGTGTATCTTAGCCAGGTGCTGGTGGCTCATGCCTGTAATCCTAGCTACTCAGGCTGAGATCTAGGATCATGGTTCAAAGCCAGCCCCGGCAAGAAAGTCTGTGAGACTCTTTATCTTCAATTAACCACCAGAAAACCAGAAGTGGAATTGTGGCTTAAAGTTGTAGTGCACCATCCCTGAGTAAAAGAACTCAGGGACAGCACCCAGGCCCAGAGTTCAAGCCCCAGGACCAACAACAAAAAATATGTATCTTTTTATTTGTTACACTTTTTGCAGGGAGGTATTAGGCATCTTGGGCTTCTTAGAGAAAGAACATTCCAGAGTGTAGTTTTCAATGCAGTTTCTAAGTCCTCAAGCACTTCTTTGTTATTAGAGCTTTCTAGAAGAAATACAGCAAAGCCAGAGCTTCCTGAAATCGTCTTCTGCAGTTGAGCTTAGATCAGTGAGACAGCTGAAGGCAGGCCGCCAGTGCTCTGTCTCCATCGGGCGACAGGGCTGCTGAGCTGCTGTGTCAGCCTGCAGGTTAGCCACACGCCTACCTGGCAGGTTGCTGAAGCTGTGTTCTGATGTTAGTGGCGTGTGTGTGTGTGTGTGTGTGTGTGTGTGTGTGTCTGTGTGTGTGTGTGTGTGTGTGTCTGTGTGTCTGTGTCTGTGTCTGTGTCTGTGTGTCTGTGGTCCCCCTGGGGCTATGTTTAATTGAATCCCATCGTGACCTCCGCATGCGTGCTTGCTGTTAAAAGCCATGCTCTAATGAGCACGTTTTGCATATAGCTCAGGGCAGGCACAATCAGCAGTGTTTGATTCTGAAAATTTAACTTTTGCTTGATAGTTGAACAAGTAAGTATGTTGGTGTAAATTACAAATAAATAGGCCAATTTGCTCCATAACATCAGGAATTTAGAATGCTGAACATTTTTTTTCTAACAGAGTTAAAGTATATTTCAGGAGTCAGAAGAAAGTATCTCATGTTGTATTTGGTCAGTCATGGGCTCACTTAGTAGCTATTTAGCTAAATAATAGCTAAATAGCTAAATATAAATAGCTATTTATTATTTATAAATAGCTATTTAGTTATTTATGCTAAACACTAGGGACAGGGTTGTGAGACAAGCAGGTTCTTTGCACTTGACGTTGGGCTGTTTTCCATGAAAAAAATTATTTGCTTACAGGTTCTCTCCAGGATGCAGAGAGGGACAAAGGGAGCCCATGGTGAGGGTAGCAGGGAGACCTACTTGGGGGGGCCTGGGCTCATACCATGGGGGCAGCGTGAGCCCCCTGAAAAGTGGCTATGCAGGCGGAGGGGGTGGCAGAGCTGCAGGAGAGCAGAGCGGGTGCGGCAGCCAGGATCAGCCGCCTCCCTTAGGCTAGGTCTCACAGCCAAGGGTTTTAAGCAGAGGAGTGGCAGTTTCAGATTTCTATATGGAAAAAAGGATGGGACTGATACATACCAATAATCGTAGCATTGGGGAGACTGAGGTTGGAAGGACCATCTGACTATACAGCAAAACCCTGCCTTTTAAAAGAGAGAGAAAGAGAATGGGGGTGAAATGTCGTGAGGGAAAGATTGGTTGAAGGGTCCAGGAGGTAGGGTAGTTCAGAGGTACAGCACTTGCCTAGCACGTAAGAGACCCTGGGTTCTAACCCCAGCATCACAAAAATAAATGCATAGCTTACAGATAACAGTAGCATGCTGTGAACCCAGCTGAGACTGAGGCCGGAGGCTCAAGAATTCAAGTCCAGCCCGAGACCCTGTCTCAAAAAAGAAAACAAAATAAAACAACAAAGAACAGGTTGAAACTCCCTCATATATATCTAAAGTTCTCATCTGCATGCATAGAGTAATATTTTACATAGTGTTACTTACAGGCCTAAATAAAACTGTAATTATGAATTGTGAATATTGAATTTTGGTTATTCAGTCAGCACCCCTGGATGTGATGAAAAGCAGCCTTACCTTTGTGGTGCTCTAGTGACATGAATGTATGTGCCTGCACATGTTTGTTTAATCACCATGCAGAGATATAAAGTGAGACCCGAAATTCAGCCTCAGATGTCTTCCTTCCACAGGCTGTTGGCGCTTCCACCCTTCCTGGCACATGTGTATTTATAAAAGAATGTTTGAGAGTGAAAACAAAGTCCTGACCAAAGAAGGCGTTATCCATTTTTTGGAGCTGTTTGAAATGAAGCCTCTTCCGTTTTCCCCAGAGCTTTCTGAGGTATTGACTGTGGTTCCCTTCCTTGTTCTCTGTCCCAGGCAGAGATGATGATGGTGTCACAGACATCTTCGGATTCAGCATCAGCAAGATTTCCTAGACTTGTGTCCCCAAGCCCCTCCTGTATGGAGCATCTCAGCTGTCTTTTTGTGGACAGGCTGAGTGGTATCAGCCTGTCTCGTGGCCACTGAAAAAGTAGCTCCCTGCCCTCATCTTCTGGACCACATGGCTCCAGAGTTAGAAACCTGGTGCTGAAGTTCCCCGGTGTGCCATCCCTGCAGGTCTGGCTGTCTGGAGGGTGCTGGCTTGCAAGGGATGCAGCCGTTCAGGCTGTGGCATTGCTGTCTCTGTCTTGGGGAGAGGATGAGGAGTCCTTCCACCCTGAGTTGGTACACTCCTGTTGTCTCCCAGTTCAGCACTATCTGTTAAAACCGGAGGAGATCTGGAGGATTGCAGCTGGTGTTAAACCTCTAGGTTTAGTATCCCACCTTGTGTTTAGAGGCAAAGCATTTTGATTTTTCTGTCTTGTGCACACAGTTGTAGTGTTTGAGATGTTTGCAGTTTCAGTATCTCCTGTCCTTCTGGCACTTCATATCAGCTTGCTGAGGAATATTTTTAGGATGTAATTTTCCCCTTTTTTCTCCTAGGTATAAGTTCTTACGTGTTCTCTTTAAGGTCTTTTTGTTGTTTTCTATTGCTACCTGTATTTCTCAACATGCATTGATTCCTTTTTATCCCTGACCACACTGAATCTTAGTGTGCCGTGGTGGTTGTGAGGAGGGAAAGTCCAGTGTTTAAGGGATCTTCCTGTGTTAGCCTTCAGTAAGAGACTTGCACTAGTGACCTGCTTTGCTTGTCTGTTCTCTGGTCTCCGTGTGGGGAGAGCCATGGGGGAGCCGGGGCACTCCCACAATTGTGGTTAGAACGTAGCACCACTTACGTGTCCTTCTCTTTTTTCAGTTTATTATTGGCCCCCTAATGGATGCACTTTCAGAGAGTTCTCTGTATGGCAGGTAAGTGGGCCCTGTCACATAGCAGCAGTGTGGATCTGTGTATGTGATCATACATTAGATCTGGGAACAGGGTCACATTGTTTAATGCAGTTAGTGTGTAATCTGGGTTGTTTAGCTTAAAAAACCCCAGTGCCTTTTTCTTGATCAATGTTATTTGTATCACATTTTCTGCTTTCCTTTTTCCTATTTCCTTTGTACCTTGAGCCTCTCTATTTCTGGATTTGGGAAACTATACCTTATGTGGCTTCCATCACCCTGTTATGTTTTCTACCTTTGTGGAAATTGTAGTGGCTTTGCCTGACTAACATTTTGGGCCTTTCTCCCTGCCCTCCTCCCTCCCCCCCAGGGTCTCTCTATGTAGTTCAGGCTGGCCCTGAACTTGTGGTCTTCCTGCCTCAGTATTCTGAGTGCTGGGATTATAGGCATGTACCTCTGTTACTACAGTAGCTCTCTGTTTAACTTTTTATTTTGGCCTAGCCTCACACTTACAGAAAAGTCTCGGGAATAATATAAAGAATTGTTTTTTTTCTGTATTCACCAAATGTTATTGATTAGACATATCCATACCTAGTTTGTTGTTTGTACATCTGTCTATCCATCCATCATTCTATCCATCCATCCACCCACCCACCCATTCATGTTAAGAACCATGAGTTCACACCAATTTTTCCAATTTCTGTCCAGTGCCAGGGTTCTTCCTATTTTTCTTCTTTCCCTAATTCATATAGTATCTACTTACTCCACTTTCCCCTGTGGAAAAGGTCTCAGCGAGGAGTGGCCAGGATTCCACCATAGCCTGTTCTGAGAATTACTTGACTCTCAATTATCTCTTCAAATTTCTCCTGCTTTTAAAATCAGGCTGTCTTTCTAATACTGATTCCCAAAACACATAGCTTTAAGTCTTCTGTTTGGTAGGCCTCTAAATAGGAACCCTTCCCCCCTAACAGTTCCCTTAAAAGTGATTTGATGTTCTAGGCTAGGTTATATTACTGTTGACTTATAATGTCTGTTTAATGAATATCACAAGATATTTTAGGCTAGGTTAGATTACTGTTGACTTATAATGTCTGTTTAATGAAGATCACAAGAGAATGGCGTGTTGCCAGCCTGTGCATTCCAGTTTTCATAAGTGTTCTCTGGTGCGCTGCGCCTGGAAGCCATGAACCCCGCAGCATGGACAGCAGGGAAAGGTGCCTCTGTGCTCTGGGGGCTGATGCCACACTTATCCCCAGGTGCCTTAGATCTCCTGACCTGGCCACACACGTGGCCACTGATGGCCCTGGCAAAGGCCATCGGAGTATGTGTGTCAACAGCTCACTCTCATACAGGTGACTCAGTACTAGCATATCTCTGTTGTGGGGTGATTTCCTGTATTGTAGAGTTAAGGATTTAAGGTCATTGAATTCTTTTGTCAGAAATGATGAAGTGCAGTTTAAAATGAGATCTTTTTTTTTTTTTCATGCTCCTATTTAGCCAGGTTCATGTGTGTGTAAGAGAGAAGGAAAGAGTCCTAGGCAGGTCCCAGGCCTGAGGGCAGGACTGACCACATCATTCTCCCAACAGTCCTGAGTCTTTAACTACATGGGACCTGTAGCTGCACTAGAGACCACGTGCAGGTGTCTCGGCCCTGTGTGCCAAAAGCCTGGGGTGTGTCCCTGGTCTGGCATTGGCCGCTCCTTTGCAAACAGGTTTAAGTAACTCTTTCTCTCCCTCTTTGCCTGTAGGTCCCCAAGCCAGCTGGTAGGAAGTGGTTCTCCATTGGGATTAAAGTTGCAGACGTTTTTAGTCACTTATGTTTCTCTTCTTCCTGAAGATACAAAGAGTATGTGTCAGTAAAGAGGTTTTTATGTTTTTATTTCTCTTTATTTTAAGTGTTAGTATATCTCGGCGTAGGCATCGCCATGAGGGTTTGTCGTCAATGCTCTCTGAGGTCTGACCATGCTGTCAGTCACTTGAGCCATCCGGAGGTGCAGCTCAGGTCTAAAGGTCCTAGGTCCTGGCCTTGGCAGGGCAGGGGTTAAGGAGTGTCGAGAGGCTGCACCTGGCTGATTCATCATGCCTGTCTGGTTCAGGCATCAGTAAGCTAGCGAGGTGGAACACGGACAGCCACAGAGGAAGCAGTGATGGGTCCTTTTAGCCACAGCAAGAAAGAAAGGAGAGGTGCTTCTTTTACATCAGATGTAATCAACCACTTCTTAGGGCAGGCTCTATTTTTCTTCTTGAAGGTGAGCTAGACAGTGGAGAACATAACCACTCACTTGTACTTTTGCTTGCTGAGTGGTTTTCCTAAGTCTCTCTTCACTCTTGCCTTCGTGACCTTGAACACAAAAGTTTTGTTTTTCGTGGGTACTGGGATTTGAATTCAGAGCCCTGAGCTTGCTTGACTGGCTTGCGTGGCTGGCACTTGGCACTTGAGCCACATCTCCAGCCTGGCTTTTTACTAGTTATTTCGCAGATGGAGCCTTATGGACTTTTCTTCCTCGGCTGGCTTTGAATTGTGATCCCATGGATCTGAACATCCTACCAGGTGTGAGCCACCAGTGCCTGCGAGTAATTTTTTCATTTAAAAAAATTTAATCTACAAATAGGGTTGTGAGGTGAGAACTGGTAAAATCTATTCAAAAATCGGGAAAAAATTAGAAGTTTTTGTTTGTTTTTAGTGAGTTATTGGGAAGATAGCTTTAATCGTTCAGTCTGTTGGCTGTGAGCTGCTGGGATGCAGCTGGGCGGGGCGATATGTGGCCAGGCCAGCATGCCTGTCATGACCAGAATTAGGTGACGTGGTTAGGGTTGGCCAGGAAGGGATGATGGGAGCCCTGGAATCTGTCCGTCTTAACTGGGCACAGATCACATTTGGTAAATGTGTTTGTGTAAAAGGGACTGTGGCCATTCCTGTTTTCCCTTGTCCTTGAGTGAGGGCTCAGGCACAGATGAGGTTTGCTGAATTTGAACAGTGCACACAGAAAAGAGAGCAGTGGAGGAAGTGGTGCTGTGGCTCAAGTGGTAGAGTGCTAGCCTTGAGCTGAAGACCTTAGGGACAGCACCCAGGCCCAGAGTTCAAGACCCACAACTGACAAAAAAAAAAGCAATTGAAATGTTTGTGCACAGTTCTTACTGCCTTTTTAGTCACAGATTTGGAGCATGCAGTTAATGCTGCCTACTATGAGAGAAAACACATAACCTTTTAGGAGTTTCTGGAACTTCTTATAAGTCATGCTGTGGTCCTGCTCTGCAATGGAAAGTGTATCCCAGGGCCCCTGTGTATATTCTGGAAAGGGCAGGAACCCTCCGGGAGGAAGGCCTGCCTGCTGTGTGCAGGCATAGGTTTGTCTCTACCAGTACTCCCTGTCCCTCTCCTTAGCATCTCAGAAGAACCCTGCCAGCAGACATTTTTAGTAAATATAGCTGCTTGTTATCTACAGTGCAGTTGAGTATATATCACACTCAGTAGGAACAAAGTGAAATAACATAGGTATTTTAGAACAATTACCTTGTTGGATTTTTTAGGCTTTTCGCGTAAGTGACCCTTTCAGAGTGTTCACCTCAGGAGAGTGTGCACAAAGTCACGGGCACGTTATCTTCACCCCTGAGAGGCCCTGCACCAAGAGCCATGGTTCCTTCTCTTCTCCCCCTGCCTCAACACCCACGTTTTCATCCATTTCATTAATGGAATAATGCCATAGTGGTCATTTAGCTCATGGCTTCCGTCACTTGGCACAGTGTTCAAGAGTCATTAATTCCATTTTTGTGGCTGAATACTGCTCTACAAACGCCACAAAGTGGCGTTTGCAGACATGTGTGCTCTTCCCAGCTTGGGCTTCTGTGGAAGTGTTGCTGTGAATACTCATGGAAAGTTTTTATATGAACTCACATTCCCATCTCTCCTGGGGATAGGCCTACAACTCGTATTGCTGGGTCACATGGTAATTCTATGTGAGATTTTTCTGGGGCATCTTCCAGGGAGCACACTGGCAGGGATAACATTTACTCTGTGTTTCAGGGAGCTTCCTCCTGAAGTTTCTTCAGCGGATGACAGATAGACACTGGTGTGCTGTGCCTATTTTTTTTCTGTCTAAGGCATTGGCAAGCGTCCCTAGATGGAAGGCCCTGGGCATCGAAGGGCTCCTGGCCCTCAGGTACGTCACCCATGCGCATGGCTGGTGGTTTCCCGTGACTTTATATTTGTGTGTTTTGTTTGTCCTTTCATCTATACTGAGTGAATTCAGTTAGTATAATCTTACAAGAGGAAAAAATAAAATACTTGAAAATTAAATACTTGAACTTACTTTGTTATGAATTACTAATTCCTGTGTACCCATGTTTCTGGGCTGTTAGATTTTTTACTTCCTAAAGACTTGTACATTTTGGTATGAAAAGCGTAAACTTACTTTAAAAATGTCTTCAGCTATGGCCTAATTTTCAAAAGAGTTTTGCTTCATATTAAACTTGAAGTGCTGGATGCTAGTAGGCTGAGATCTAAGGATTTCAGTTGGAAGCCAGCCTGGGCAGGAAAGTCCATGAGACTCTTACCTCCAATTAACCACCAGAAAACTGGAAGTGGCACTGTGGCTCAAAGTGGTCAAGTGCTTACCTTGAGCAAAAGAGCTCAGGGACAGTGCCCTCTGAGTTCAAGCCCCATGACTGACAACAAACAAACAACAACTTGAAAGCCAATGGAGGACGTGTGGAAGTCAATATCCCTGAAGTTCTGCTGATGTAGGTGCTGTCAGGAGTTGCAGTGGCAGAGCTGTCCTGCTGATGTAGGTGTTGTCAGGAGTTACGGTGACAGGACTGTCCTAGGAGTATGTATATATTCTGTTTTGCTGCAGGGACGTTATGCAGTGTACCATGATCACGCATCAGACTCTGCTGAGAGGAGCTGCGCAGTGCTATCTTCTTCAGACTGCTATGAATTTGCTGGATGTGGTAAGGTTGTCTTTGGTGCTCCCATTTCTGAGGCCCTCTCAGTGAGGGATGCGGCTGTGGCTTGGGGAGCTTGCATTTGGGGAGGATTTACACCATCCTAGGTGAAAGGAGGAGCCTGCTGTGCAGGAAAGACTTGTACAAGGACTTGGCTCATGGTGACTGCTGTCTCCTCTGGGCCAGAATGAGCTCATGCACAGGGCACAGGCGGTCTGTGCTCTGGGTCTGGCACAGACAACCAGCTTCTCTGGTGGCAGCAGTCCTTGTGCTGTGTCACGGCCTGCAGAGGGTGGCAGTGGGGAGTCAGGAGAGGGAGGGAAGGGTAGAGTGGTGCTCACTTCTGGCTTCCCCCACACCTTCCCTCATCTTCAAGACATGGAGACGTGCGAGCATGTACTGCCCAGAGCAGGGGCACGCACTGTCAGTGAAGGGGCACTATTAGTGAAGGGTCGAATGCTAAACACTCTGGACTTCATGATTGCATGGCCTCGGGTGCAGTGTCTGCATTCCTCCTTGGTACCAGCAGTGGCCTTGGGCGGCTTACAGATAAAAGGGCTTGCTGCATCCCCTTGGGACTCACGAAGGGCTGCGAGTGGTCTTGCTGCCTAGACCTACAGCACAGGACTCACCCTCCTCAGGACGTGGTATACTTTAGCTGATGATTTTTGCAGCCTTGAAAAGAATCACCGTGTGTGGTAATTTTCTTGTACTCAAGTATTTAGGAGACTGAGGTAGAAGGATCTTGAATTTGAGATTAGCCTGAGCTATGTAGTGAGACCTTGCTCAAAACAAAAAACCAAAGTTACCTTTTGATTGAAAGTAATTTCTTCATCCATAAAATTATCATTAAAAGAGACAACAAGAAACACAATCTTTCCCTATAATGGTAACCTCAATTTATTTTAAAAATAAACTTGTGGGCTGGGAAGGTGGCTCAGTGGTAGAGCGCTTGCCTTGCATGCCTGAGGCCCTGGGTTCGATTCCTCAGCAGCACATAAGCAAAAAAAAGCCGGGGGCTGGGAAGGTGGCTCAGTGGTAGAGCACTTGCCTTGCATGCCTGAGGCCCTGGGTTCGATTCCTCAGCACCACATAAGCAAAAAGAAAAAAAGCCGGAAGTGGCGCTGTGGCTCAAGTGGTAGAGTACTAGCCTTGAGCTGAAGAGCTGAGGGACAGCGCCCAGGCCCAGAGTTCAGGCCCCACAACCGGACCCAAAAAAAAAGAAAAAAAAGAAAAAAGCCGGAAGTGGCGCTGTGGCTCATGTGGTAGAACGCCAGCCTTGATCTGAAGAGCTGAGGGACAGCGCCCAGGCCCAGGGTTCAGGCCCCACAACCGGACCAAAAAAATAAATAAAAGTAAACTTTTTTTGTATAATGAAAGATTGCAACAGATATGTTCCAGGTTTTTTTGTTTTGTTTTTGTTTTTTTGCCAGTCCTGGGGTGTCTACTCAGGGCCTGGGCACTGTCTGTGAGCTTCTTTTGAAGACTAGCACTCCACTACTTGAGCCACAGCACCAATTCTGGCTTTTTCTGTTTATGTGGTACTGAAGAATCAAACCCAGGGCTTCATGCTTGCTGGGCAAACACTACCACTGAGCCACATTCCCAGTCATGTTCATTTAAAAAGATTTTTTTTTCTTTTTGCCAGTCTTGGGACTTGAACTCAGGGCATAGGTACTGTCCCTAAGCTGTTTTTTTTTTTTTTTTTTTGCCCAAGTTGTACTATATTCCATTTCTGGCTTTTTTGGTGATGTATTGGAGATGAGAGTCTTAGAGATTTTACTGCCAAGGCTTGCTTAGAACCATGATCCTCAGATCTCATCCCCCAAGTGGATACAGGTGTGTTCATTTTAAAAGTGGACTCTCCTTTTTAAAATATAGGGTTTTTTGGATTTAACTAGTAATATTCTGCTTTAGCCATTTCACTTGTATGCTTCTGCAGAGATGTGACTTTATTAACTGTTTTGGCTGTTGTTCTGAGACAGGGTCTAGCTTAGGGAGTCAGGCTGGCCTTGAGCTCACCACCCCCTGCCTCACCCTCCCAAGAGTTGAGAGTTCAACTAAAAATTCTGAATTCTTTTCTTAAATGTCCTGCTTAGGAGAAAGTGTCACTCTCTGAGGTCTCCACTTTTCTTGTGTCTCTAAGACAAGAGGAGTCTTTGGGACGAGGAACCACGCTGTGGGCAGAGGTGAGAGGGAAAATTGAGTCCTCTAATTTGTAAAAGTTCTGATTGAGCTTTACTGTTTATATAAGACATGATTGCGTGGATGGGAAAGTGGCTCAGTGGTAGAGCGCTTGCCTTGCATGCCTGAGGCCCTGGGTTTGATTCCTCAGCACCACATAAGCAAAAAGAAAAAAGCCGGAAGTGGCGCTGTGGCTCAAGTGGTAGAGTGCTAGCCTTGAGCTGAAGAGCTGTGGGACAGTGCCCAGGCCCAGAGTTCAGGCCCCACCACCAGACCCCCCACCCGCAAAAAAAAAGACATGATTGCTGGAGGCAGGGATGGGAAGGGGAAACAAAGGAGGGGGCAACAATGCTCGATATGAAACGTACTCATTGCCTTGCCCATGTAATTGTAACCCCTCCGTACTGTATTTTCATGCATTTGCTACTCCTGCAGAAATTGTTCAGCATTGTGTATTGGCTTTGAGATGCCTTAATTCAGGCAACTCATGCTTCTGGCAAGAGGGAGGAACTATAGAGGTGGGCCTGCCAAAGAGGAAACAGGCCAGCAAGCAGGTTCTGTTCTGGGTGACCTATGGCAGGAAGAGTCACTGCGTTAGTCTCAGACACTGAGACAGATCTCCTGTTTGTCTGTCTCTTCTCTCAGTTATCTGAGATGCTGCCCAGACAGCTGTTATCTGAGACAGCTGTTCCACTGATTCTTTCTTTTAAAAAAAAGTTAGCATTTACGGATTATACAAAGCAAGTTTTGTTACAATATTTCCGTACACACCCATAGTGTCTCCTGTGATCAGATCCACCCTCTGTGGTCCTGTCCTAACTCTTCTTTATTTTACCAGCATGTCCTCTCTTTCTTGCCTTCAATTCCACAAGAGGGAGGAAGCGTGCAGGACTTGTCTCTCTAAGACTGTATGATGCTCTCTAGTTCTGTCCATTGTCCTACAAAGACATACATGTCTGAATAATACTCCTTTGTGTATAAACACAACATTTATTTAGAACACTATGAAAAGTACACATTTTATTTTACTTAGGAAAATAAAACAAGAGATCATTTATTATTAAGGTTCATAGGCCAGTTCAATGGAAAGAAAAATGTGTATAGACATATAAAGTGACAACTTCCGTAAGGTAATAAATAGCAGACTGTTTAATGGCTTAAATTCAGCCTCTTCAGAAAGAAAGAAGATTGGCTTAGAGAAAGTAGAGCTCCTTTGTTTACTTAGGGTTCTGAAGATGAAATCCTATAACTTTTCTTTTCTAGCTCTGTGAGTGGTTGTGTGCTAATGAGCATTGCTTTAGGCAGTCCTCAGCTGGCTCCGATGAACTCCACGAGACATCTTTAAATGAATTTGTGAAGAGCCTTGTTCATGAGTATGTCAAGTCACCTGCTTGGGAGAGTAAGTCTGAACCATTCTCAGAACCAGAATGTGTCAGAGAGCTCTGCATTAGTTTGGGATTTGGGGTTACACAACTGTATTGTGGTTTACTGAGTTCAGATGTCCTTTTAGTCAAATCAGGTAGCAGTGAAGTGCTGTCTCCTGACTATACTTGGCCTGCTCTAAGATTTGAAATGTTACATGCCTGAAGGAGATGAGCTGAAAGCTTACCAGAGTGAGAACTGGACACAAGTCAATTTATTATTTTTTTTTCTTCTCTTGGGGTTTGAATTCAGGTTCTCAAGCTTGATAGATAGGCACTGTCCCAGTTGAGCCATGCCCTCAGTGTTTTTGTTTTACTTCATTTTCAAATCGCCTCTCCAGCTCCAGCTTTGCCCCAGATGGTCTTGGACCACAAATCTACCATCTGTCTCCTAAGTAGCTGGGGTTCCAGGCATGAAGCATCATCATGTTAGTATATTGTCATGAGCCATCCTCATATTAAGATAATAATATGTTCTGAGGTAGATACGTCAGTGTGTTTGAAATGTGGAAATATGTGGAAGGGAATTAGCTCATCTTTGTTTACAGGAGCTGGTTATATGTGAGCTAATATGAAAAATAATTTTAGAGAAAAAAATCTTGGAAGGATGTTTGCTTTTCTTCCCTTCTACCTCTTCTCTCTTCCCTTTCTTTTTACAAAGCAGTGCTGGGAAATAGAACCTAGGGGCTCTTGCATGCCAGGCCCTCTCACTTTTGTGTGCGTGGACATCCTTCCATTTCCTGGAATTGGTGATCTCTCTGCTGCCAGGACCTGAGAAAGTGTAATCTTTGAAGCATTTAACTAATATGTAAATTTTATTATTGAAGCTGAAGAAAGCTGCTATGTGATGCCTGACTGGTCAGAAGCCAGGCTGACAGCCCTGATGGTCTTGTTGGCTATAGATGTGGAGGGCCTGAGGACATCCTTCAGGTAATTACTGCTTTAATTGAAAAGGAGGGCTAATCATGCCAATGAAGTGACTCAGACTTTCCAGTGATGGGTGTAGAGTTCAATCACTGAACTATTAAAGGTAGAATTAGAGCACTGGTAATATACTATATGTCTTAAATTAACACATAAATAAGCATAGGGTATATTAGCTCTTTCAGAAGAGTAAATTAAATGATAAACAATTTAATATTGATTAGAGAAGGATACAGTAGTCATTGATTTTATTTCAGTGTTAGAAGGATGGATAAAATCCTAGCATAAGATTACATGAGATTAGATAGACACTTTCAGGGTCTAACTCTCCTGAGATTAGATGCACCGTCCAAGACCTAACTCCTTTATAAGCTTAGACAAACATTGCCTGGATCTACTCCTTTGTAAAATTCACTATTTAAAACAAGATTGAGCAACCTCATTTATATTTCCAGAGTGTAAGCAGACCAATTGTTACCAGATTATTGCAGTAAGCAACTTCATTAGATGAATCATGTAATTAATTTGATTCATATCAAATCTCTTAGGTAAAGTTATAATAGTAATGGTTGTGAGTTCTGCATCTTTAGGGTTTTGTGGTGTTTGTGTGTGTGCTTTCACACACCTTGTTTCTGTCTCTGGCATCCGTTTGTCCTTCTACATTGTGGAGGCCGGATCTCAGTAGTGTAATGTGTGTACAAACAAGGTCTTGGCTTTCCCTCCCCCGGTGTGGGAGTTGGACATGGTGGGCTTGCTGGGCTTTCTTCTCTAGCATTAGCCCATGATGCTGGGTGTTTTGGGTGTCCCTAAGATAACTTTGTGTAATTGACTCCATGGCAGATCGTAGCTGGGGAGTAATTCCTTTATGCTGTTGGGATGGTTGACTTAGATGTGTCTTTTGATACCTAGTGAAAAGCGGAGGACCCAGAATGTGTTGAGGATATTCTTAGACCCCCTGCTGGACGCCCTGGGGAAGCTTGGTACCAATGCCTACATGCCCTTGCTCAGGGCAGACCGATGCCTCCAGCTGCTGTTGACACTATTGCACACTTGCACCATGAGAGGTCCCACTTCCCAGGATGGTGAGGATGTCTTGTTAGTGTGGGCGTCTCTTGTAGTATTTGGCTGATATTTACAACGATGAACTCCTGCTCTCAACATTTAAGGAAAAGTTGTTCTTGTAGCCCAGTGTGTAAGCATCTCTGTTGTGCTGGGAATGCAATAGAGGTGCTTTAAATGCATTGATTGCTGTCACGTTTTCAATCATGCTGGCTCATCTCCAGACCATTTATGATAATCGCTGCTGATCACAAGTGTGTAACAGGGTCCAATTTCTGACTGTCATGAGTCAGGATGTTTTAGAATGTTAAAATGTGAGAAAGGCAGCAACTCATGCTTCTCCTTAACTATTCTCATCCCCGAGCTCCTTTGGAGCAGAAGATACTCCAAACAGGAAGTCCAGCAGCTAGAGGGACTCACCAAACTCACTCTTCAACTGAGACTTAAAAACAGCTGAGGCTAGTCCTTAAGGATGAGAATCTGGGGGCAGGGCAGGTCGGGGAAATACACCTTAGTTCTCAGTTTCCTTCTGACCAGTTACATTTGCAGTGTTAAAAATGTTGCCATGTAGGAATTCTAGAGCCTATTGTCACTAAGTCTAGGCCCGGCAGTGCTATTGGTAAGGTTAGAATCCAGTATCTTTATGAAATTCTAAATGTAGCTCCAAATGTGGTACCTTTATAATGGTAGAGAACAGATGGTGTGAACACAACAGAAAAGCATAGAATTTTCTGGTCCCGAGGGGCATTCATGGGGACACATTTGACAGACTATCACTGCTCAGTGTTTTCAGTGCTGGGCCAGGTCCTCTCTGAGTTTAAGAAATGGCATAGCTGGGCACCAGTGCCTTGCACCTATAATCCTAGTTACTCAGGAGGCTGAGATCTGAGGATTGTAGTTCAAAGCCAGCCCAGGAAGGAAAGTCGTGAGACTCTTATCTCCAATAAACTACTCAGAAAAAGCTAGAAGTGGCGCTGTGGCTCAAATGGTAGAGTGCTAACCTTGAGCACAAAGAGGCTCAGGGACAGACCCAGGCCCAGAGTTCAAGCCCCAGGACCAGGAAAAAAGAAGAGGAGGAAGAGAGGAGGAGGAGAAGGATAAGGGATGAGGAGGAATAGGGAAGAGGTAGAAGAGGAAGGAGAAGGAGGAGGAGAGCTGTGAGTACTGAACCTGTACAGCTTGATGAGTTTAGGGATAAGTCTGCACCCACCAAGCCATCACCGCTGTCATGACCTTAGAGGTGTTCCCCCATCCTCACGCTCCCCCATTACCATTCCTGTCACCAGAACGCGTTGCATTTTAGCTGTGCAGCACAGCACCCCAGGGCTCTGCCTTGCTGGTCTCCAGACCTCACTTATTTGCATGATGGATCCTGGGAGCCCTGGACTGTCCCCTGCCCCACCAGTAGTCCTGTTGGCTGCACAGTGTTGTTTGCGCTTTTTCAGTCATGTGTAGAGATTCAGTGCAGAGCCTGAAGTGAGGGAGCTTCATGGCTTCAGGCCTTAGGGTTAAGCCTCTAAGCTATTCCAGTTGACATTTGTGTGTGTTCTCAACAAGGCTCAGGTTCGCTCCTCTGCATGGAGATAAAGCATGTTACAGAAAAGACTCCTTTCTTGTTGAGTGGTCTTGGCACCATTGTGGAAGGTCAGGTGACTGTAGGCATGGGTTTAACAGTGATGTTGAGCTTGCTTTCTTTTTTTTTGCTAGTCCTGGGGCTTCAACTCAGGACCTGAGCACTGTCCCTGAGCTGCTTTTGCTCAAGGCTAGCACTCTACCACTTGAGCCACAGCCCATTTCTAGCTTTTTCTGCATATGTAGTACTGAGGAATTTAACCTAGGGCTTCATGCATGCTAGGCAAGCACTCTACCACCGAGCCCTGTTGTTTACCTTTCTTGCATTTATGGAAATGGTGTGTTACTGTAGGCAGTCTTCTGTGTCCTTTTCCACTCAGACTTTCCAAGGATTAATTGTCCTGAATGAAATCTTGTCAGTCAGCGAGCATGCAGCTTTCCTGTTCTGTTAGTCAGTGAGCACAGGGCTGTCCTAGTCTGTCAGTCAGTGAGCACAGGGCTGTCCTAGTCTGTCAGTCAGTGAGCACACGGCGAGCACTCAGCTGTCCTAGTCTGTCAGTCGCTTCTTGCACATAGCTGCACACACCTTCTGTCAGCCTCATCTTTGTAGCCAGGGAGAAGGGGAGCGGACCAGAGCTTGAGCTGGATGTTTTTAGCCAGTCCCCTGTGTAGTGATGACCACTGTGCTCCTGGAATTCACTTTCATAAGTGATTTGCCCTAGGACCTACCACAGATGTCCCAGAATTTCAGATGTACTTTGTGCCAAAGATGTCTCTTCTGGTGTTCCAGTGAAACACTTTCTCCCCGCAGACGAGGTGCCTACCCTTCTGGAGAACTTCATCCTGCCCGCCACAGAGAGTGTGGCCCAGTTCATTCTCAGGAGACTCACTGTGGATGAGCTGTGGAGTGTAAGTAGCTTCCTTTGTCCTATCAGTCAGTCACTGTATTAGAAAAGAAAGGAAGTGGCACTGTGGCTCAGATGGTAGAGTGCTCACCTTGAACTGAAGATGAAGAGCGCAGGGACAGTGCCCAAGCACAGAGTTCACGACCGACAAAAAGAAAAGAAAAATGACCTTAATGCGATGATGGCTTTAAAAAGAGCTGTCAGCAGTAGAAAGAACCACTGACTTGAGTCTCCTGGTTTTCATTCTACTCTGTAGTTAACTGTGGCCTGGGGAACTACGTGGCTCTTCTGAGTCCATTTCCCTGTCTACAAAGCACAACTGTACGTCTGTCCACTCCCCAGGATTTGGAAGTTTCAGATGACAGGATATACCTGATGCTTTCCTCTTCAGTGCATCTCAGCTCTGTAGACCACAGAGGTTCTGATCAGCAGGCTGGGGACCGGTGTACTTACTGCCCCACCAGTGATTGCTGGGGCGGGAAGGAACGCTAGGTAAACACACAGTGCGCTGCCAGTGGTCTGTCCTCTCTCTCTTGGCATTCCTCACTTGGTTCTTTGCCCAGTGTGAAGAAGGCTTTGAAATAACAGCCTGTGTGTTAATTCAGTTTGTTTGAAGAACTCTAAAGCTCAGAGTGTCAAGAAAGTCATAAGATAAACTTTCCTGAGAAGTTTTGTCTGAAAGCCTGATTACGTGCATTTGTGTGCTCACATAAGCAGGTGTAAAATTTCTGAAAGACTTTTGGCAGTTGGGTAGGGAGACTGACTGACAGCCTTCAGCTGCACCCTGCTTCTCTTCTAGCTTGCAGTCCCATCACACCCACAAACTCTTGTTAGGTTTTGCTCCAAGATCATTTTATTATTCTCAGTATATTATTTTTAGATTGTGGGAAAATACAAAATAAACAGAAGTATAATGAATCCACTTTATAATACACTCAACACAACCCAAATATTTTTGTTCAGAGTATGAAGCAGAGAATTGCTTAAGGAAGTAAACACTTACTGTCACCTAAGGCTTTACAAAGAATATAGAAGAGTAAGCTCAGCCTCTATATGCCACTTTCAAATTGTTGTAAAAATTTGCCCTGATAAGTTCGCTGTGAGAATCCTTAGTGCAGTGAAAGAGTGTGATAGCTTTTAAGAGGAGCCATATTCAATGACTTGCGTTTCTCCAGGAGAATGAGTCCTCGTTTGTCATATGTACTGAAGTCCCTGGCTGTTTTGGGGGTATTGGTGCCAGGCCACTGGGCTGTAGATGGAGGACCTGTCACCTCTGCCGTCCTGACTAGACCAGCATGGGCCTCCCCATCCCTCCCACCCCCTGCCCTGTTCCCAGCAGGCAGTGGCTCCCCCTCCCCCCCTCGTTCCCAGAGAGAACACAACCAGCAGGCAGTAGCCCCGTTTCACGCTGTGTAGTGACCAGAGGCCACCTGGCCCTCAGCCTCCCAGGCCATCCCTGAATGCCACAGCCAGGTGCCTGGCACTATCCCCTGGTCTCATGAGGGCTTCCCCTGCAGGTCATCCACTCTTGCCTGCATGCCCACCTCCTCCTTTTCTCCTGGACTTTCTGATGTGTTTTGAGGCAAGGTCTTGCTGTGTAAGTCAGTCTGGCCTTGAATTCACTATGTAGTCAGGGCTGCCCTTGACTTTAGTGATCCTCCTGTCTCGAACTCCCAGGTTCTGGGGTTGTGGTGAATTCAGTGGTCCTCCTGTCTCAGGCTCCTGGGTGCTGTGGTTACAGTGAATTCCATGGTCCTCCTATCTCAGGCTCTGGGTGCTGGGATTGTGTTGTGCCCCACTATGTCTTAGGAGGCCCACAGTCTGGTAATGATCCATCAACATACCATAGTAATTAGGGTACTTTTTTCCCCCTTAAGTCTTTCAAAATCCTGTGATGGACAGATTATCACTCCATTTTCTTGGTCAGAAATCTGAGGCCCAGAAGAGATTAAGAAGTCACTTGCTCTAGATCCCCAAACTAGTGACTGGTACAGCCACCTGGGCTTATGAGTCACAGCACCTGTGACCAGTTGGTTCTGCCCCTCCCCTCCCGTTAGCGTGGGATATTGGCAGATTGTACTCTTGTTGGGAGGCTGGGCCGCTGTCATCTTGAGGGGCTTGGGGCAGAGGCAGGTGAGTGCTGGGATCGTGATCCAGCCCTGGGCGTCAGAATCGGGGCTGCACACTTCCCGCCACCTCCAGTCTCCTAATGGGTGTGGGGTAGATGATGCGAGTGAGAAATGAACTGTGTGCTGAGAGCAGGGGTGTGAGCACAGGAGGGGCTGTGCAGGGCAGGCCTGACCGCTGTGGAGGTGGCTGTCACCAGTGGCTTCTTTGGGTGGGTAAGGGTTGGACTTGGCCTCTCACTTGCTAGGGCAGGTGCTCTACCATTTGGGCCACAACACCTTTTTTTTGGCCTTGGTTATTTTTCAGAGTGTTTTACATTTTTGCTCAGAGCCAGCCTCAGAATGCAAACCTCTTACCTACATCTCCCAAGTAGCCAGGATTGCACTTGTGAATTCCCGTGCCTGGTTTGTTGGCTCAAACGGGATCTCTTCTAACTTTTGCCCAAACTGGACTGAGCTGTGGAGTCTCTGGCCCATGGCTTGCTCACAGGTTTTTGTGTCTGCCCAGCTTGCAGATCTGGACCGCTGCCAGCTATACCTGCAAGTGTTCACCCGGCTCGCCACCCTCCATGCGAAGGTGGGGTGGAAAAGGGGCAATCCCGTCTGCAGAATTGTTCCTCCTCTGGAGAACGCTTGCATTCGCCATCTTCAGGAGATGGACAGTGGACAGGTAAGCCGCCCATGGCTTTGTCAGGGTATGTGGAGCACATTCTGTTGCCGCACAATACCTTGAAACAATAGAGCACGTTTGTGGAAGTGCTATGTTCAGACACTGCAAGCACTGAGGTGCCTGGCACAGCATATAGCAGCATGTGGAGATCCCACACACCGTCATGCAGACACAGGCAGACTGCCCATGCGGCCCTCTGCCCATGCAGACCTTCTCATGAGCCCAACACCAGTGCCCTCTCTGTGCAGCCCTTGGACGCAGCTTCCGTCCTCATCACCCACCACCCTTCCTCTCAGTACCACAGTGCTCCGTACTGCTCCCAGAACCACTGGGGGACATGGAGGCCCTTACCACAGCCCCCCACCCACTTTTCTCATTGAGCCTCCGTCCTACAGGCCCCACCAGGAGGGCGCTGCCCCTGCCGGGCTCCACAAGACCATGGAGCCCCTCCACAGTGCTCCCTGAATCACGGGAGGCTCTGTTTTCTTGCAGGTCCTTACTTCCTTACTCTGTTCTTCCCACCTAGGTTAGCAGGGTTGACTTCCATTTTCCTTGTGTTGGTGTGTGTGCATGTGTGCTGCCAGAGCTGTGTCAAGGTTCTGTCTAGGTTCTGTGTCTAGGTTCTGCCTTGGTTGCCTCTAGGTTCTGCCTGGGCTGTGTTCTGCTGTCTCTTGCTCTTCTCTGCTTCTGTCTTCACAGTGACCTGTGGTTCTCTATGTGTGGAGTCTGGGCACAGCATGCCTGCACTTGGTGGGGAGCTCCTGCTAGGATTCACACCCAGCTTTTTAAGCCCCAGCTCCATCTCACCCTCTGAGCTTGTGACTGCCAAGAGTACACCCAGCTGGGTGAAGACTTGTTTCTAACCCAGAGCCTTCTTTTCTAAACATGCCTCCATTCTAGGGTAGTATGAACTAGAAGAGGCTGCTCTCTGAACATGCATGAGCTCTAAGGACTAGTCTGTGGTGCTAGTTCTTAGCCCACTTCAAATCCAGTGTGTAGAGTTAACGGTGTGGCGTGTGTCTGGTTTCCTTGTCTCCCCCACGCTCCGTAGCTGGCGGAGGAAGGGGATGCTGGACTGTCAGGTCCCCACCGTGCAGACGTGGTCTGCAGGAAAGCATCTCTCTGTGTCCTCTCAGGAGCCCATGCTCGCTCGTCAGATCCAGAGAGCGGTGAGCATGGCTGCCCTGGCCGCTGTCTGTAAGGCTGCTAACCAGCAGCCTGCACTCCGGCCGGAGTCCCTCGGTGCTGGGCCTGTGGACAGGTTCCTTTCTGCTCTTCCGCTTAACCAGACACTGCAAAAGCCCTGCGTGGAGGAGCAGAGCAGCACGTGCTCCCTAGGAGGCGGCAGGTGGGTGAGGGGCTTCCCTGTGACAAGGTTGGTTTGGTCTTGTTTTGGATTTTGTCATTGCCTCGCAGAGTCTGGGAGGCGGAGTTCTCTGGGATGGGAGCACGATGGCATGCTCTTGTCCAAAGCCTGCTGGCCTGAGCCACATTTGTCAGGTGAAAGCTCCAGTCGCTGGGTAGCTGGAAAAAAGGTTTATGTATTAGTAGATAGAACGTGGTTTTCCATTCTAGAGATAGGAAATCCCCAAAGAAGGGGCTGGCATCTGCTCGGCCCTGTTCACCTCCTGGTGAGGAGACACGGGCAGCAGGCACAGTGGACAGGAGAGGGGCAGCCTGGCCGGCACCAGCCCGCTCCTGTGGGCACTTACCCAGCCTCCAGCCCATTCCTGTGGCTGCCATACCCATCCCCTCCAGAGCAAGAACTCATGGCACTGCCCCAGACCTGCCCCTCCCACCAACCCCTTCCTAGCACTGCCTGCCCAGGAGTGAAGCCCCATGCAGGCCTTGCTGAGGCAGACCATGCAGACCGCAGCACTTTCCTCTTTCTTAGCGTGCTGTGTGTGAAGGAAGGGGAGACAAATGTGGGTAAGTATGGCGTAAACAATTCACTTTTTATTTCAGTTATTCTGAGGAATTCCCTTTATCATCACAAGGATGGGGGAAGATAGTCGCACAGTTTATCCATGACCAGTGGGTCTGCCTCTCCTTCCTGCTCAAGAATCACCACACCCTCATACCTGCCTCAGAATGCGATGTCCCAGAGCCCTCTCTCCCCGCTGTCCAGATGCCAGCTGGGACGCTGCGGGCCGCACTGGATGCGCTGGCGGTCCTGCCTGCTGACCGAGTCTTGCCTGTGTTCTCCTGTATGAAGATGTTAGTTCCCAGGGTGAGAGTGCTGAGTGCAGGCTGGTGCCTGGCACCTTGGGGAAGGGGAGTTCCTGGCATGGAACTAGCACCTCCTGCTCTCCTTGCAGCTCCTGACCTCCTCTGAAGCGCTCTGCGCAGAGTCCTTCGACGTGGCTTGGAAGGTTACGTCATCTTCAAGCAACACTCAGCTGACCTTCTGGCCTAACTTGAAAGCTTTTGTTCAGTTCGTGTTTGATGACAAAGTTCTTACTGCTGCTGCGAAAGTCAAGGGCCGGGCTTACTTGAGAGTAAAGGAGGTGAGTGCCCTTGCTCACACATGTGACCGTGGTCAGCAGCCAGGAGGTGGCCTTGGTGAGGGGCTGCTGCCTGCGCTGTTCAGTCGCCCCGTTCATGCTGGAGGGCATGGAAGGAGGGCATGCGCGGGAGCCTGTCACATACCCACACCAGCATGTTTGGTTCTTGCGGTGTCTAAAACCGTGAGTTGCTGATTGGCAGCTGTGAATTGGCAACTCTGAGTGCAGTTGGCAGCTGTGTGCATACCTGGGTTTCCTCCTGTGGGATCATGGTGTCTGCATGGAGCCGGACTGTGGTGCCCCTGTGCGTGTAGCAGGACCAGTGTCCCCAGAGACTGCACACACCCCTTGCCTGTGCCCTATGAAGCTGAGCTTCATGGTTTTTCTTACATGGAGAAAATATTCAAGGTCAGTCCTCCATATTGACAGATTCAAACAGAAAATCGCATGTGAAAAATGTTTTGTATTCCCTAAACAGTGGGTAATGACTTCTCTAGGCATAGAAAATCATCTTGAGGAGGTTGGAAGTATGAGAAAGGGACTGTGCATGTGTGAAGGCAGCATGCAAATATGCCACATTACCTGAGACTTGAGTTCCTGGATCCACAGCCCCTACCATGGACCCCTCCCTCAGGAGCCTCACCTGGGGGCTCTCGCCTCCTGGGCCAGATGGGGAGATGGAGGTCCAGTCATTCCTCCCAGTAACCCTGCTGCACCGCCTCTCAGGCCCTACCTGCCCCAGGTACCTAGAGACCTGTCCTGCCTGCCTGAGGGAGACAGAGAAAGCCAAGATGTAGCACAGCATGTCCTATTTCCACCCTGCTGCCTTGGCCCTTGCATGGCTTGTGAAGTTCTAGGTGAATATCCACTGTAAATACATCAGTAACATTGTACTTAATGGCACTACTAAGAATTAAAAAAAAAAAATCCATGCTTAGCTGCGCGCCAGTGGCTCATGCTTGTAACCTTAGCTACTCAGGAGGCTGAGATCTTAGGACCATGGTTCAAAGCCAGCCCTCGCAAGAAAGTCTGTGACACACATCTCCAATGAACCACCAGAAAACCAGAAGTGGTGCTGTGGCTCAAGTGGTAGAGTGCTCACCTTGAGCTGAAGGGCTGAGGGACAGTGCCCAAGCCCAGAGTTCAAGCCCCAGGACTGACAAAAAAAAAATCTCTGCTCTGATTATTGATCGTCTTTGCAAAGTTGTGCTCAGTAATGAATTTTACATTTTTAGACCACTTATAGTCACATTGAAACTGTCATTTGAAGCTATTTGAACTGTTTTTAGCAGCATGGAAGTTTTTTGAAAAACTACATTTGTCAAAGGATGACATGATCACTGTACTTATTCTAGATCATGCACAAGGTCATTGAAATGTCAGCTGTGAAAACAGGCGTTTTCAACGTGCTGATAACTCATTGCTGCCGTTCTTGGGCTCTGTCGGCTGCCAGTGCGTCCCGGGGATCTCTGTCGGTGGCCAAAAGTTACTGCGAGCTTGTCCTGGAGGCTTGCGTGTTTGGACCTGTGTTCCGCCGAGATCAAAGGTGAGGTGCTAGTATTACAGTTGTCTCCCTTGGTAAGGGTGGTATCTTTACTTTGTGAGCCCTTCAGTGAGAAGGGCATCAAATGTTAGTTAATTTAACATTGGGATATTCATTGTTTTCTTTCCATACTGATGCTTTTTCATGTTTTTTAAAATGTAAAGACTTATTCAGGATGTCCAGACATTCATAGAAAGCCTGGGACCGGCCTGTGCGGCCAATGTCGTCATGGAAAGGTAAGTGTGGCGTGGCAGTGCTCCCTGTGCCTGGCTGCACCCCTGTATCTGTGTGGAAGAGAGACTCCAGTTCTGACATCACATGGCAGACACTCTGCACTTGTCAGACCTAAGCAGTGTTCACTGGTGACATCTGCAACTATAGCAAACCTTCAAAAGCATATTAAGTAAGAATTATAATCCTTGATAATACCTTTCCTTCATCTCTTTCACTACTAAAATTGAATGAACGTAAAAAAAGAATGCACCAGGTGTGGTCTGTGTACACACCTGGAATCCCAGGTACTTGGAGATGGTGGAGATAGCCAGATCTCAGTTCAAGGCTGGCCCGAGCAAAAGCTCAAAACATTACCTAAAAAGCAAACTACAAATGCAGAAGGATTGGGGCATGGCTCTAGAGCACTGGGTTAGCGATGCTGAGGCCGAGTTTAACCTAAGTACAAAACAAAATGTCGTGCAAGGTCCCATATAAATAAGGCTCTGGCTCTGGAGACCTGAATCCCCACCCTCTTCCTTGGGGAGGAGCTCAGCACAGGCACTTTGTTCCTCAGCCCCTCTACCAGCTGCAGAGTGCACTATGCAGCATTGACATTCAATAACGAACCATGTGCTGCACATGCATATAGCTTCTCCTTGTAGGTAGGTTCTATAGTGTTTGCTTCCCTGCCAGTCCTGACCTGGAGCTTGAACTCAGGTCCTGGTTTCTGTCCCTGAGCTTTTTTGCTCAAGGTTGGCACTCAACCACTTGAGCCATATCTCTCCTTCACACTTTCTGGTGGTTAATTGGAGATAAGAGTCATGGACTTTTCCAGTCCAGGCTGGCTTCGAACCACGATTCTCAGATCTCATCCTACTGAGTAGGTGGGACTATAATAAGCCACCAGCACCTGGTGGTTTTTGTTTTTTAAAACCCCTTTACCGAAGCATGATTGACAGGAAAGGATCCATCTGCAGCCAGTGACTTTGGTGACAGGCTGTAAGGTTTGACTTTGAGGATAGCTTTTTTTTTGCTTTTGGAGCTTGTCTAATAATGTTTTGCTCGTTTTATTTTTTCATCTCAATTTCAAAAGGTGTGTGTGTGTGTGTGTGTGTGTGTGTGTGTGTGTGTGTGTGTTACAAAGAAGATAAAATGAATATTCTGGGCTTAGTGTTTAGGATATTGTATTACTATGTATTCCTGTCACAAAAGCATTTCTTATTCTAAGAATGTGAAATTCTCTGAAATTCATTTAATGTATGCATAATTCTCATTGTTAATTGTGGGGTGTTTTCTTCTTTTGGCTGTTGCAATAAAAATGACAATTTTTTATTGTTATTATAGAAGTGATGTACAGAGAGGTTACAGTTACATAAATCAAGAGTACATTTGTTTTTGGACAATGGCACCCTTTCTTTGAAAAGTGACATTTTGTAGTGGCTGCTTGCCAGAAACTTCAATTTCTGCTGGACAGATAGATGTTCGTAGCTAGATCAAAACATTTCTTTGCATTGTCAGAGTTGAAATAGCAATTAATTGGGTGGGAGAGGGTGCTCCTAGGGAGGGCGTTTGGGAGGAGCATGGAGCTCATTGTGCACCTCCAGCCCCCTAGCAGGGTGGAGCTTGGTCTGCATCCCTAGCCCCCTAGCAAGCAGAGCTCTGCCTGTCTTCTCTGAGCAGTCCTGGAGCTGGGGTCAGAGGCCTGGGCAAGTTTGTGCATTTGCTGCCCACATTCTCCTGTTGTGGGGTTCCTGTCTCCTACATCCAGAATTCCTGTGAAGTGTGATCTGGTTAGTGGTAGACTCTGTGTGTGGGGGGGTGGGGGGGGGGTGGTGCTGTATTTTGAAACTGGTAATCAGTGTGTTTTTTCTTTCTACAATGTACTAACATAGTTTATAATTTTGTATTTTTAGCACCAGAAGAGAAGACTGTTATGTGAGAATTTGTGTTGTCAAATTCTTATGTTTATTGGATGGCTCCAACATTTCCCACAGGTCATTTATGGAAGAGCTTGTAATCAAGTTATTGGATAAAGTAAATATGCTTTGTTTTACTTTAAATTACTTTTGCTTTTAAGAAGTCATTGTCCAGAGCTTGCTTTTTGTGTTGCTAGAAACTGTCAGAAGAAAACATGAATTTGCTGTTCTATATTTTCAGTTATGTCTTAGTAGTAACTATCTACAGTGTCAGATCCTTACAGTTTTGTGTAAGAACTTTAACAGGGCTGACTTCAAACCCCAGTGCTAACAAAACCCAAAAAGAAATAAATCTGGAAGGGTTGGGAAATGGCAGTGTGAGGGCTGCCCTCTAGTTTGGGACTGAGAGCAGCCCACCTGGGGCTTTGCTGCCTGCTGTGCCGTACCACGTGTCATCCCATAAGTGTACTGTCATGGAAGGCTTAAGGATGGTGCTCCCCATTCAGAGGCAACGGGCAACTAGATTTCTTTGAGCCTGCTAAGTCATTTATAAAGGACTTTATGCTGTCTGAAGAGTGAGTTTGTTACATCCTAGTAGAGATGGAAAGGGGGTGAAGCCATGTGTGGCTCTGTTCCCTTTAGTAGGACTTGAAGCTGAGCCTTGAAGGCAGGGTTAGGATGCTGCCATCTGGAGTTTGGAGGTGGCACTGCGCCGCCCACTTGGTGTCTTCCTTCTGCCTGTCAAATTACAAAGGGTATTGCAACCAAATAGGATGGGGGTATACATGGGAAGTCCCTGTGTTGTCTCCCCACCATATCTCTCCCTCCCCCCCCCCATCCCAAGCTTAGGGCTTGGTGTTCTGAAAGATTTTCAAAGTCATCATTCTTTATCTTTTTCTCCTGTGTGAGTGGAGAGAAGGCCTCTGTGCCCAGGTGAAGCCAGTCAGTTTCAAAGTGGTGTTCACTTTGTTCTCACTAGTCATGAATGAGAGTTTAACCCAGCCCCCCTCCCTGTAGGATGAGCTGGTGTCCACGTCCAGAACTCGGTACTATGAGAACTCATTGCAGCACCGGGTGAAGAACCGCATATGGCAGACGCTGCTTGTCCTTCTCCCCAGACTGGACCAGGTAGGAGTCATCCTCCTCACACTTTTGGCATATCTCTTCATACGAACCAACCATGCCATCCAAATTCACATGCTGTCTTAAAAGTAATAGAGTATTCTGCTTAAAAAATTACATTTTTGTGTTTGCCATGGGGCTACTGAGATGTTTTGAGGACCCTGAGCTGGCATTATAGGATGGTTTACATGGTTTCACTTCAGCTAATTTTCACTGAAATCAGTTAAAAATATCCCTAACAATGCATGGATTTTGCTTTTCTTAGAACTTCTTGAGTGGAATTATTGACAAGATTTTCCAGGCTGGCTTCACCAACAATCAGGCTTCCATAAAATACTCTGTGGAATGGGTTATCATATTGCTGCTCCATACATTCCCTCAGTTTCTTCAAAAGTTCTGGGATTGCTTTTCATCTGTAAGTAAGGAAATGGTTGTATTGTTTTGAACTGGGGAATGGTTTTGACTATGTCACTTTAGTAGATGTTCTTGGCTCCTGGTCTGCCTATGTGTTTAACGGAGCCTTACCCTGCTGTCTTGGACCATGCATCCTTGCGCCCTGCCCACTTGCCTTTTATTTGCCTCTGTGCCTTTACTCATCTTGCTGTCTTTCTCCTGTTCCCTCACCACTGGGCCCCCTATTCCCCTCCAGTCACCCCATGGGCTCCCTGAGGAAGCCACAGCCAGGAGATGCACGGGGCTCTTGTGCACTTTGTTGTGTCTGCACTGCTGGGTGCTTCGTGGGCCCCCACTGACTGAGGGGAGCACCTCCTCCTGCTTGCTTTGGTCCCTGCAGATCATGGTTGCCTCAATTGGGCTGCCTCCCGCCCCTGCCTTCCAGAATCCAGCCCCGGGCCTCAGAAAGTGGCTCGAATTCTTGTCTATCAACTCCTCTTTCAGGGTGAAGAAAAACTGAAAACAAGCGTTTGTACATTTTTATCTGTCCTGTCACATTTGGGCATCATCATTCAGAATATTCCAGAAAAGGTAAGTTTGGAATGTGCAGGGTGTTCGTTATATTTTTTGTGATTTGTTTTTCCTCTCTTCTGGCCATGATGCACCTCCGACACAAACACACGGTGACATCAGCACTGCCTGCATGTCAGTCTGCCCGAGTTTGTGGACTCGTGGGTTCACCATGTCCTGCACGTGGTACTGGGATCTTCAGGACTTGTCTTACTGGGCCCAGTGGTGAGGTGGGTGTCATCTCACCCTTTTCCACAGGGGAGCGGTCTGGAGAGAACCCTTCCTCCCCTGGAGGTGACAGGAGGCCTGGGCCCGAGGGGTGGGTGAGCAACCGGGCCGCGCCTAAGGGCAGTTTGGCCCAGGCAAGAGTTCCCCTGGCAGAGCCGGGGCCGGGGCACAGCACAGGAGGCCAGCTGGTACACTGCCTCGGGACAGGCATCCTCTTGCCTCGGTGCTCAAGCTGGCCTCCCTCCCTGTTAGGGAGTAGATGGATCATTGGAAGGACAAACCCATGCTGTCAAACCGTGCAGATTGAAAGTAGTGTAGGTGAAATGCCGTGCTTGGCCCTTGGGGCACAGCAAAGGTCCTGAGTGGTAGGCACTGGTGAAGAGGTCACGTGTGTGCTGCAGAGCTCTCTGAAGGGCCCTCCCGTCCATCCTCTAGGCTTCAGGGACCAGGGTTCCAGGAGGGGACCCAGGGATACTGCCTCACTGTCTGTGGCCCCATGACCGCTGACAAGGACAGGAGGAGCTCAGAATCAAGGATGAGGGTGGGGTGGTGGGGTGGGTCTTGCGTGGTGACCTTGAGATGACCACAAGGTCACCAAAAGCTGGGTCTCTCCGGGACATTGCTAACGCTGGCAGCCCAGGGTTGGCACTGAGAGATGGAGGAGGTTGGCACTGGCTCCACTCAGGCCTGTCCAAGGGGCTGACCCAGGAGTGCTGAGAAGAGGCTCAGACCTGAGAGCCAGTCTGCAGGAGGGAGCATGGGAGCCCTCCGCCTCATCAGCAGGCTATCGCTGGCGCAGCCCGCGGTTGGATCCATCTTGGTCCTTGGTGACACAGAGACGCTTTCTCTCCAGAAGCCCGCGCTGCGGCAGGCCCTTGCCATCGCCCTGCAGTGGTGTCTCAGCCACAACTTTAGCATCCGGCTGTATGCACTGGTCGCCCTCAAGAAAGTCTGGCAGCTGTGTCGAGCGATGGGTGTGGAGGAGTGTGCCGCGTGGACCTCGGTGATCGAGTGCAGCCTCAGCCAGGCAGAAAGCTTGCATGCTGCAGGGTAGGGATGCCCCAGCCTGGAGGAGTGAGAGGATGCTGGCCTCTCTCCTTCCTGGGCGTCACTGTGCTACGGGCCAGCCCAGTGCCAGCCGCTGTCTTTGGGGTGCAGATTTGTCACAATTCCTGCTCTCTGCCCCCCCCCCCCGATCTGTTGTGAATCTGCCCCTCCCCGTTCCCACGATGACTGCTGGCTTATTGGCAGCCTCTTTGTGCTGCAGCAGGTACTCTCTGCCCCTGGCACCACCGAGCGGCTCCCTGGGCTGCTCTTCTCCTATCATTGGCCACACCACTTCCACTGATGCCTTTTCTTCTCTGGAAAGTTCGTACATACTTATCCAGGAGCTCTGTGCTAAGCAGGCAGAGGCTGCCAGAGGGTTCTGTGCAGTCTCATAGTGTGGGATGCCCGCCCTCCCCCCCAACCCCCCCTCCCCCAAGCCTCTGCTGCCACCTGAACGTACCTTCCTGTCTACAAGGCGTTGTCTCCTACTGCTTATTATGTTAATCGCCTCTCAGGGCTGCTGGAGTTCATGAATTTGAGAATCACATGAATCAATGTCAGATGTTTTTCTCAAGGGGCTCACACAAGCAGCATGTGTTTGTACATACAGACAGGTAGGCAGTGGATGAGTGCGCATGCACACATACAAATGAGCATACCAGGCCTCAGGCTTGAACCCAGGGTCTGGGCGCTGTCCCCCAAGATTTTTTTGCTCAGGGCTACTGCTCTAACACTTGTGCCACAGCTCCATTTCTAGCATGTTTGGTACTTAATTGAAGATAAGTCTTACAGGCTTTCACTGTCTTTGAACCATGATCCTCAGATCTCAGCTTTCTGAGTAGCTAGGACGGACTACAGGCCTGAGCTACCAGCACCTAGCTTAGTTACTTCTGTAATGGCTTTCCCTCTTGGACATAGAGCTCTTCTGACAGGCAGAGCTAGGGACTCCTCCCCAAAGTTTTCCTGGTGTTGGCAGGCCACAGGCTACATCTGCATCTGCATCCCCCACACTGGGTTTTAGTTTCACACCCAGCCAGACAGATGGCTGAGGGAAAGGCTTGCTGAGTTACTGGCTTTTGTGTCTTCAAAACAGTTACTTAATTTCACTTTTCGACTTTGAGTTTCACTTCAAGATGTGAACTTTTCGTGGTTGGGGACTGTGAGCCCCCATGAAGGGCTCCCTGCAGGTGAGGCCTGGGAGGTTGGGGGCTGGGTTTGTCCACAGTTCTCACAAAAGTAAAAATAGTGAAATATTGAAGATATGTGGATATTAGAGACAGGTACAAGCCTAGGGTGAACATCTCTGGAAATGGGGCAGTACCTCATTAGGATGAGAGATTGCGTCCTCCTGCCCAGAGCCCCCACCTCAGCCCAGCTGTCCCTCTGTCCGTCCATCCGCAGGAATGCCAGGAGAAACTGGCAGCGCATCCAGGAGCACTTCTTCTTTGCACGGTTCCACCCGCTGGAGGACTATTGCCTGGAGGTAGGCAAGTGGAGGTCGTGTACAGATTCTCCCGGAGTCCTTGACCCCAGACTTCCCTTCTCCCCCACTGCCCAGAGTCCATGGCCAGCCCCCACCCTCCACCCCCTACATTCCCAGAGCATTGTAAAGTTGGTGAATTTTGTCAAAGTGCTTTCTCACTCCTAAGCACAAAGTTGGCTAGTCATTTCCACTTGGTATTTCTCTGGCAGTGTCTGTAAACCAGAAGGGAAGATTTAACTAACAGACCAGATTGTACAGAACCTTTGTAAAGGGGAGATTTTGTTGTATTGAAGCCCACTGTCAACGGACAGATCGGCCCTTTGTTTAATGGCACATTAGGATCTGGGTGATAAAAATTATGCGGCCAATAACAGCACCTCACCAGCCATAACAGTGTTTACATGACTGAGAGCCGTAACCCTTACTACACCTGATACAAGTTAATTCAGTGTGTACTCACTGAAGTGTGCATGAAGCATAGTGCTTCCTCTCTCACCTCTAGTCACAACAGGCTGCATTTGATCAAGAACTTTCCTGTAAAGAACTTGCACAAAAGCAAGGCTGTGTACACTTGCACCTGGCGCACTCCTAGTTTATCCTCCTGTCCCCCCACAAGTTTAGTTCATTTTCAACGTAGTATCCGTGAGTACTGCTGCTACATTTTTGTTCATCCTTTGTCTCTCAAAGACAGACAAATGAACTAACAAGACAAAAAGAAAACAAGAAAGAAAAAAAAACCTCGTTTCCATTTCCTGGAGTCTATTTTGAAATGTTTTATATGATCAGAGCTTGTGTTTTGTTCTTGCCAGCTGTGCTTCGGTTGGCTCAGACTCCCAGTCTTCCTCCAAGTGGCTGGGATTATAGATGTGCACTTTCATGCTCTCCCAGCTTCTCGTGCTGTTTAATCTTGTTCTATCCTTCCATTAAAAATGAGAGAGTTGAGCTGGAAACAATGGCTCATGCCTATAATCCTAGCTACTGAGGAGGCTCAGATCTAAGGATTGTGGCTCAAAGCCAGCCAAGGCAAGAAAGTGTCTGTGGCCCTGAGTTCAAGTCCAGGATCTCTCACACATACACAGCCAGAAAAGGTTACATGGCTCACCCAGTCACACGGCAAATCGTAAAATTAAGCAAGAACTCAGATTCTGAGTTTTCAGGGTGGTGAGAGGAGCTTGAATGTGAGTGCTCATTGTTCATGGAGATGTTTGGTAGTCTGGCTGTGGGCAAATTTCTTTTAACCCAAATGTGTCCCTCACTAGAAAACGACACATTCCCTTGAGGAGTGAGCTTTACTATATTAGCACAGTGGGGTGTTCCATAAAGGCAAGGTGCCCGCATAGACCCCCGGGGTTCTCAGGACTCCCTGAATGAATCCTCTAGTTCCTTAGAGTTGATGAGGAGTGAGGGGGCACATGTAAGGGAGTGGATGCCATGGCTTGGAAAGAGTCCATAATCATAATTAGCTTGCACCTCATGTTCAGCACAATTCTCTTTGCAGACCATATTTTACACCCTCCCGCGGCTGTCGGGCATGGTGGAGGAGGAGTGGCTATCCCTTGGCAAATTTTGTAGCTTCCCAGACGTGCCATCTGATGCAGGCTCCCAGTGGTACCTCTCCCGGACTCTGCTCCAGGATCTAAGTCCAGGAGACTGCTCTCAGCAGGATACAGGTGAGACGCTCCACTTCAGCGATTTCAGTGACCTAGAATGGTGTTGGTAATTTCACTTTAGCACTGACCTGGACGTGCTGCCTCTGGGTAGAGAGGGGGCAGAAGAGCTCACAGCGTGGCTCGGAGCAGGACTTTTAGTTGTGAGTTAACTTTGCTGCAGAAAGCTTCATAGGGCTGAATCTGCTCTACATAAAACTAACTTCTCCTTCCAATAGGATTATCAATTAGTATTTGTTCTGCTAGGTAGATCTGTAAATTACAAGTTCTCTGAATGGCCAAACTGACACCTGTATGTCCTCAGGAGCAGAGTGGAGCTCTTGGTCGCAGTCGTCTGTCTCCACCTCCATCTCCATCCCCACCTCTGCCTGCCCTGTGCTGTTAACCCTCCCCCTCCTTCCCTTTTTTTTTGGGAGCCCTGGAGGCTTTGCTTGTTAGGCTGGTATTCTACCACTTCACCCATGCTTCTAAGCCATTTGAAGATTAAAAATTACTGTTAAAAATGACACATTGGAACCCAAGTAAAGCTCTTCTGTTAAAATTCAATTAAATCTCATTGAGTTGGGCATGGTAGTGCATGTCTGTAATCTCAGTTATACTGGAGACAGATTGGGAGACCAGTGTAGGCAAAAACACAAGACCTGAAGTTGTGGTTCAAGTAGTAGAGCACCTGCCTAGCAAACATGAGGCCCCGAGTTCAAAGTAATACTTTTCCCCAAAGAAGTCATCTTGTTCTGAGCCACTAAACCTTCTTGCACATTGGTGCTGCTTCCCTTCCCTGCCAGGCTCTCCAGCTGGTGAGGACAGCCAGGTGGAGGGGACCAATGTGCAGAAGAAGATCATCCCATGGAGACTGAGCGCCCTGGATGCAGAGCTGGAAGTTGAGGCCCAGGACCGAGCTGCCCGGCTTGGGAAGGCTGTGGGTAGACTGATTGTGGTGGCCTCTCTCATTGACAAGCCCACCAACTTAGGAGGTGAAGTGGTAGTCTCCAGGAAGCTTGTTTCCCTTCCATCACCCTTTCTGGCTGTGCCCATGCCTCGCCCTCTGGAGAGCTGCAGGGAGAGGGGACACAGCCAGCCTCGCGTGGGTGGGTGCCCGGGGTGACACGGCTGTTCCGGGCAGGGTTGTGCCGGACCTGCGAGGTGTTCGGGGCTGCGGCGCTAGTGGTGGGCAGCCTCCAGTGTGTCCACGACAAACAGTTTCAACACCTCAGCGTATCAGCAGAACAGTGGCTTCCTCTCCTGGAGGTGGGTAGGAAAAGCTTCACTAAATTGTTTGTGACAATACTTGGCATGGTTGCTATCTTTCTAGACCAGGCCTTCTGTAATAATTTTAAGGATTCAGCTTTTTTCTTCTTGCTAGTACTGGGGTTTGAACTCAGGATCTTGAGTTTACTTGGCTTACTTGGCTAATGCTCTACTTGAGCCACACCTCCAGTCTGGCCTTTTGCTGGTTATTTTGGAGATGAAATCTGTTTAGATTTTTCTGTCTGGGCTGGCCGTGAGCTTCAGTTCTCTAGATCTCCTGAATAGCTAGATTACAGGTCTGAGCCAGCAGCACCTGGCTGAGTCAGCCTTCGGTAAATTAAAAATAATACACTACAGGGCTGGCAGAGTGGCTCATCTGCCTGGGAAGTGCAAATCCCAGTACTGCCCCAAAAGTACAGTTTCACTTTGTTCTTGGGTTCCTTTATTGCATTTCTCTTGTATTTTTAGAAACCATCAATCATGTAGCTCTTTTTAAGATAGTAAAATGTGTACTATTATACCTCTATTTAGGCATGATTCTTAGAAATCTTTGATGTTGAGGGAAATTCTTTTGAATAACATTTAGTTCTTGTTTAAACAGTTTAGTTTCTGTTGTCACTGCCCTGGTCTTAGTCCAAACAGCTGTCATGAAAGGGTTTCATTAACGTGCCTCTCCTTTCACACCACTGCCAAGGTGAAGCCAGCACAGCTGGTTGATTATCTGCAGCAGAAAAAGTCAGAAGGCTACACCATCATCGGAGCGGAGCAGACGGCCCAAAGCTCAGGCCTCGACCAGTACTACTTCCCCGAGAAGTCGGTGCTCCTATTAGGGTGAGGCGCTTCCCGGGGCCTGTCCCATGGTGAGACTCCATGTGGTCACCCAGACCAGATGGCCGTTAGTGGAATCTGGTTCTCCTCAGTTCACCGGCAAGCTGCTCTGGTGACAGCCAGGCACGTCAGCCTCTTGCTCTCACACCTCTGGAGCTTAGCTACTTCACCTATCACACTGGTTCTCATTAAAACCTTCCAAGAATAGAAGGGAAGACACTAGCCTGTGGTGTGAGGGAATTGACGGCTTCTTCTTCTACAGAAATGAACGGGAAGGGATCCCGGCTAGGCTGATCCAGCAGCTGGACGTGTGTGTGGAGATCCCGCAGCAGGGTGTGGTCCGGTCCCTGAACGTGCACGTGAGCGCGGCGCTGCTGATCTGGGAGTACACGCGGCAGTGGGCAAGGCAGGCTGGGCATGCCCCTCCCACCCCAGAGCAGAGCGCCAGCTGAGACCGGACTCAGTCTGAGGACAGAATACCAAAGCCTTTCTCGTGCCTTATTTACCTGTGCAAGTCACCCTTTTGGGTGTCAGTCCTGGGGCCAAACTCAGGGCCTGGGCACTGTCCCTGAGCTTTTCTGCTCAAGACTAGAGCTCTACCACAGCTCTACTTCTAGGTTTTTGGTGGTTAGTCTCAGACTTTCCTGCCTAGGCTTGCTTTGAACCTCAGTCCTCCTATCTCAGCCTCCTGAGTGGCTAGGACTGTAAACATAAGCCACTGGTGCCTGTTCTGCCTTTTAATAACACTTAGCAAACTTGGAATGCCTTTTTAGTAGAAATGTTAACTGTGTAAATAAACGTTTTTTTAAAAAAATGTGTCCTTCCTACAAACTAGTTTTGGGCAGACAACTTTTACCCTGAGGGTCCCCAGAGTTAGCAGGGAGGTCCTGAGTGGCTCTCTCAGGGGTCAGCTGTCTCTGGCCCACACTGGTCAGGTCTGGCTGCAGGGCCCAGCTCCATGCTCTGCACTCTTAATTCTCGTCCTGGAAAATCATTTGGCAAAGTGCCAGGCCGGCTCCCTGTAAGGGTTAACGCTTAATTCTAAAGTCATGAAATTTCTCCCACACCTGTGCTCACGAGGGGTCTGATAACAAATAATACCTGTAACGCACACCCAAAGGACCAGAACTGCTCTTACACCTCATTCTTCAAATAGACCCAGGATGCCAGGTGTGTGTCCACCATCTGCAGTTAGCAGTGCCACTCAGCCCAGTCACACAGGGGAGGGAAAGCACCCATTACAGGGAGAGGTAGCAAGGTACTTGGGGTGTCTCAAGACTACCACAGTAATTAGTTACTATTTTAGGGGAGATCCTTGGGACAGATAGAATTCACTGACTTAGGCTTTGTCCTCTGGCTTTCCCATGTGCAGGCACCAGCTATAACAGTGGTGTTCTAATGGTGATACCACCTCACTCATTTCCTCTACACTTGCAAGAATTCTAATGGAAAGATGTGTCCTCACCTATCATTTCGGTAGGGCATGATTTCCTAGCACCTTCTCTCTACATTACACAGTGATGCTCCAAGCTCATCCTGCCTTCTTCCAGGAGCCTTGCTAGATGCCACGAACTGGAGCTGCATGGCTCTCTGCTGCTGCGTTGGCTGCTGCAGTCACTGCAGGCCCTGTGCACACACGGGGTGAGGAGTCCTCATGTCTGTCCCCTCCGCCCATGTACGCCTGTCCACATGGGGTTCTGACACAGAGTTCTAACGCCAATCCAGCACCACTGTTTTTGTTTAAATCCAAACTCCAGCGTACATGACAACCTACCCAGTGTCTTAAGTGTCAACTACAAATATTTGCCTAATTCTTGTTCCCATTCCAGAAAAAGGAAATGATTGTTTTTATAATAGACTTTAATTTTTTTCTTAAATTTCTTACTAGATGACGATTAAGCATATTTATTATTCTTCAGTTCATTTGAAAGATGGGCATCTTCTTTCTGTTCCTTGGTGATCTCAGTTCCCGAGTGCCTTACACAGATCGCAGCGCTGATAGGAATCGAGTCGTGTGACCACTGCTCCAGAATTGGCACCACATCTCTGAATGAGCAGAAAGAATCACTTCAGTCCCCGTGGGAAGTTCACGTTGAAGGTGGTGTTGAAGGCTGGAATTCACCTGCTTCAAATTTTTCCTTAAACTTCAAATAGTCTCTTCTTTTATCAAAGTATTTGATCTATTGAGACAAGATTTGACAGCAGGGTGAGCTATGTGCAGCATAGATAAGTAAAAGCACAAACTTAAGTTCCTTGGTATAAATTACATACGAATAGAAGTGATTTGTGTTCTGGAGCTGCAGGGGCCGCAGATGGGAGCCCAGCCCCAGCTGGCCCTCCTACACCTCCAGTGAACCTGAGGACCAGACTTGTGCGCACACAGGCCTGCCTGTAAGCTAAGTCCACAAAGCTGGGACAGGGAAGCAGACTTCAGATCCAGACACCCAGCTGTTCATGGTCAACACGTCTTGTAATTTATCACTGTGACATCTCTGGTGTCTGTCCTACCCAGAACCCACACAGGAGGACAGACAGATCTCTGGTATCCATGGATGCATGAATCCAAGAAGACCGCCAATGGGGAAAACCATGAAGCTCAGGATGTACAGCCATTACTCAAGTTGACCTATACCATCCATACACACAGGTGTGAGCATCCACAACTTGAGAGACAGCGTGCTGTAGTCTCCACTGCTGTCAACAACTACAGCCATGAATACTGCTCACCAAAATCCAGATCTTATTTCATGTTCCTTTATTTTGAATACTGCAGATGACGTGCTTTTCCCACAATGCCACCCAACTTCTAGAGTGACACCTTTCACTGTATCTCAACATAAGTCACATTCAGTTTTACCTTGCTATGGAGGTGCCATGTGGGAGGCAGACTTTTTCCAGAATTAAGGGCAAGGAAATGCTCAGTGGATCATACAATTTTAACACGTGTTGATAAGTGTTTATATACTTAAAATTATATGTAGGGTTAATTCATGGTAAAACCAGAATATTAAACACTTATTTTTACTTATATCCTATTATCCTAAGGAATTGGAAAAAAAATAGTGTATCTTCATATAAAATCCTAGAAGTAGCAAATCAAAGCCAAGCAAGATGTATATGTGCTAGCCACCACACTGTTGTAGCGTCTCTAATCTGAGCGCCTCACACACAAGGCAAGGGAGGTGCTACACATCTGCACTGAGGGACCAGAGCACTAGATTGTAACACCTGGTAATACTCAGGCTCTAGTCCTTGGCTCTTTCAGTAGGGCTTGGAGAAAAGACAACTTGGGCTGCTGAGATGGTCAGGCCAGAGGCCATGGGAAATGGTGTAGTCAGCATTCTTCCCAGGGCATGCTGTACCCATCCTCCTCTGAATCACTGCTAATCTTTCTTTTTGCCAAATTCAGCACCTCATACTTGCTCTGCATTGCTTACTTGGCCTATCTGCTCTACCACTTGCCTCTAGCCGCACCTCTAGCCTTGCTTTTTACAAGTTATTTCATTCAGTAAGAATGAAACATTCTCAGAAGATCTAAGGGACATTCATAGAGGGGAAGCCTGAACTCCAATGACTTGAAGAATGAGATTTATGACTATGAAATTCAATCTTTAACTTGATGGAACTTCAACTTAGAACCTGGGATCCACTTCTCAGCCCAGAACTGGCCAGGACCTCTTTCTACACAACTATGCATTACTCTAAGGCTGTCAGAACAGTGAGAGCTCCAACCTTCCCTTAAATCCTGTAACACTCGGTGGGAGACCCTCCGTCCCTCTACTGTGTGATCTCCCTGATGACAATTTATTCATCAATCTCAGTGACAGCTGTCACATGAAGGCGCGCACCATGCCCTCATGTTTGCGGCACCTCTAATTGCTTAGTCGACAACTCGAGGTCCTTCCCACACTGGGTTTGGGCTCTGCAGGTGTGCTCCTCAGCCTCCTATACCTGTCCACTCACTGTGCACTGGCTGGCTTTCCCCGCAGTACACCACCCAGGTCCTCAACCCTTCTCATCTGATTACTGTTCACACAGTACTGTCAGAGACCTATTTGTGACATGTGAGTCCCTTCACTGCCTCATCTTGGTCAATGGTTTTGCTTACCTGAGGCCTGGCTCCTATTGCAGAACTATACCCAACAGGACTAAGTGAAAACAAGGGTGGGTGGAGCCCGGCGCCTGCTATCACAGGCATGCACCCTAGGACTCCCCTGTTCCTCACACTGCTACTATGTCCCTGGACCAACTCCAGCCTTTACAGTGTGCCATCTGGGCAAGGATTCCAGGAAGTTGTTACTGGAGAAAACACCACCTGGAATGGTAGGAACAGGGCCCCAGAGCCCCAGGTGTGTGAGGAGAGGGAGGGGGTCGGGGAGGGGTAGGGTATGAGAAGGATGGGAATGTGGGATGGAGTGTGAGGGAGTCTGAGGGGGGGTATGGGGAATATGGGGGCGCAGGAAGGTATGGGGGAACGGCAGGGGTGCGGGAAGGTGTGGGGGGATGGCAGGGGTGCGGGAAGGTATGGGGGGACGGCAGGGGTGCAGGAAGGTGTGGGGGGTCATCAAGGAGAGGGAAGGTGTGGGGGTCGTCAAGGAGGGGGAAAGTGGGGGGGATGTCAGGGAGGGCGGGAAGGTGTGGGGGGACGTCGGGGGGGCTGGAAGGGGCGGGGGACGCTAGGAGGGCGGGAAGGTGTGTGGACGGCAGGAGAGGGGCCGCGCCGTCACACACCAGCTTGGGCCAACAATTCGCAGGTCGCCGTCCCCACCCCGTCCCGGGCGGCGGGCTCCCGGCCCCCGGCCCGCGCCGCCCCTCGAGGGCCCGGACGTACCCACTGCGGCGGGCAGCTAGCCTCGAAGGAGCTCCTCAGCGCCCGGCAGCGGGCAGCGTCCTCGGCGTTCTCGTCCAGGCAGCGCCAGTAGTGGTCGCGGGCTCCCCAGCACGCCTGCCGCTCCTTCATGGTCGGGGCCGCCATGCCCGCGGGGCCGCGCCGGGCACGTCCGCTTCGACCCCGGCGGAGGAGCTGCGGCCGACCCGCCCGCCCCGACGACGCGCGCCGCCGCCACCGACCCCGCCACTACCCCGCCGGGAAAGCCGCACGGCGAGACGGCGGGGATGGACCCTTCCGGGACACCGTTCTCCGGGCCGCGAAAACGAGACTTCCGGCCCCGTCCTCACACATCCGGGCGACTTCCGGGCATCCAGGGCGGGGCTGGCGGCGCGGGGTGTGACGGCGGCGGCGGTGGGCGGGAACCCGCCGCTTTCTCATGACGTCGGCCGTCATGGCCGCGCCCTCTCTCGAGGGCCCGGGCGGCCTGGGGCCTCGCAGGGGACGAGGTTCGCTCCTTCCCCCAGGGCTTCAGCGCCCCCGTGTGCCCGCGCGTCCACGCGGAGCAGCTCGGCTCCGGGGACGAGCGGAGTGCTGACTGGGATACTCGTCGGACTTGCTCGGCGCCACGGGTCGCGACGTCCTGTGACCTCCAGACGACCCCGCAGCCATTGGCGACTGGTGCCGGCCGGCTTTAATTTGCATGCGCCGCTGTGATTGGTGCAGACGATCTCGACCCGTCCCCTTTCTGGCTATCTAAGGAGGCTAT